TAATAAATATCGGACCATCGCAGAAAATGAGGCAGAAGACATTGAAGACGAATCCGACGAATATGACCAGGTCCATTTTTTAGACCTGGCTCCCTGCTACCGTTCATAGAAAGATCAGTGGCAGGAAGGACAATAAGATTACTTATAGATACAGGGGCCTCTAAAAACTATGTTAAACCATTAAAAGAATTAAAACATATTAAGCCAGTAGAAAAACCCTTTCGAGTAAAATCAATTCATGGCTATAACGATATTGACAGGAAGTGTACAATGCATCTTTTTAACACAAATACAACATTTTTCTTACTACCAAACCTTACGAAATTTGACGGTATAATTGGACTTGATTTACTAAACCAAAACAACGTTATATTAGATTTCAAAAACAAGAAGTTAATAACAAACTGCACTTCCGAGACTATTAAATTTCTAAAATGCCCAACCGTAAATTTTACGGATGTCAAAGAAATAGAAACCCCTCAAGCCATAACGACAAACTTTCAAACAATGCTCAAGAAACGAACAGGAGTCTTTGCGGAACCAAATGAGGCACTCCCGTATAATACCAACATCATTGCCACCATTAGAACAGAAAATGAGGATCCCATATATTCCAAACTATACCCATACCCAATGGGCGTATCGGAATTCGTAAACGCAGAAACTCAAGACCTGTTAAAAAACGGTATAATACGTCCATCTCGTTCACCGTACAATAACCCCGTTTGGGTTGTAGATAAAAAAGGTACTGATGAACAGGGAAGGAAAAAGAAGCGTTTAGTCATAGACTTCAGAAAACTTAACCAAAAAACAATAGACGACAAATATCCAATCCCCAATATTGCCTCTATCTTATCCAACTTAGGAACAGCAAAGTATTTTACAACCCTAGATCTGAAATCCGGATTTCACCAGATCTTACTTGCTGAAAAGGACAGAGAAAAGACAGCCTTTTCTATAGGAAGTGGAAAGTATGAGTTTTGCAGGCTCCCTTTTGGCTTGAAAAATGCACCCAGTATTTTTCAAAGAGCCATTGACGATGTGCTCAGAGAGCAAATCGGAAAATCTTGTTATGTTTACGTCGACGACGTAATAATTTTTTCTGAAAACATGGAAAACCACGTCAAACATATCGCCTGGGTCTTAGATAAGCTATACGAGGCCAACATGAGAGTTTCGCCAGAAAAATCACACTTTTTCAAAGAAAGCGTTGAATATCTAGGTTTCGTGGTCTCAAGTAAAGGTATAAAGACATGTCCAAGTAAAGTTGAAGCGATTCGTAACTACGAATTACCAACAACTCTGTTTAACGTCAGATCATTCCTCGGCCTGGCAAGCTACTATAGGTGTTTTATCAAGGACTTCGCATCTTTGGCAAAACCTATAAGCGACATCTTAAAAGGCGAAAACGGCAAAGTTAGCGCAGGACAATCAAAGAAAATACCAGTAAAATTCGACGAGAGTCAACTCACGGCATTTGAGAAACTAAAAGAGGTTCTCGCATCCGAAAATGTAATGTTACTCTACCCCGACTACAAGAAAGCGTTTGATTTAACAACTGATGCTTCGTCCTTTGGTCTAGGGGCAGTCTTATCCCAAGGTGGAAAACCAATCACCATGATATCAAGGACATTGAAAGATAGGGAACTTAGCTTTGCAACAAATGAAAGAGAATTACTTGCTATAGTCTGGGCCTTGAAAAGCCTCCGAAACTATCTGTACGGAGTAAAAAATTTAAATATCTTTACGGACCACCAACCCCTGACGTTTGCAGTATCTGACCGTAATCCAAACGCAAAAATCAGGCGTTGGAAAGCTTTTATAGACGAGTATAATGCAAATATCTATTACAAGCCAGGGAAGGAAAACTACGTTGCTGATGCGCTATCGCGGCATAATATTCATGCCTTGGAAGACGACGCACAGTCAGACAGAGCTACAATGCATAGCGAAGTATCACTCACGTACACTATAGAAACAACAGACAAACCAATCAACTGTTTCCAAAACCAAATTATAATTGAAGAAGATAGAGTAGCCTCTGATCGTACAGTCATTATATTCGGTAAAAAAATCCGACATACAATTCACTTCTCAGACAGAAATTCGTTAATCGAAAGAGTTTACGATGTAGTCAAAAAAGACGTCGTTAATGCAATCCATTGCGAGTTACCAGTACTGGCATTCATACAACATAAACTAATAGAAACTTTCCCAACAACAATATTTCGATATACAAAACATATGGTAAATGACATTTTTGACAAGAACGAACAAAAAGAAATAACTGTAACAGAACACAATCGAGCCCACAGAGCAGCTCAAGAAAATGTAAAACAGATTTTACAAGACTACTTTTTTCCAAAAATGACAAAACTAGCTAACGAAGTGGTTGCAAATTGCAAAATCTGTAAAACAGCTAAGTACAACCGTCACCCACAAAAACAAATACTTGGAGAAACTCCTATACCTTCCTATGTGGGTGAAATGCTACACATTGACGTATACTCAACTGATAAAAAATACTTCCTTACATGCATAGACAAATTTTCAAAATTCGCAACCGTTCAACCCATTGCTTCAAGGACAATAATCGACATACAATCGGCAATTTTACAACTTGTAAATTTTTATCGACATATCAAGACGATCTATTGCGATAATGAACCCTCCTTAAAGTCCGAAACAATAAAATCACTATTAAACGGCCAGTATGACATTCAAATCGTAAACGCCCCACCACTCCATAGTACTTCAAATGGACAAGTCGAGAGATTTCATAGCACCCTCAGCGACATCGCAAGATGCCTAACAGCTCAAAGAAAAATTACAGATACCGTTGAAACGATACTCCAAGCAACTATTGAATACAACAACACAGTTCACTCGGTAACAGACAAACGTCCAATCGACATAATCCACTCATCCTCCCCAGAACTTAAAATTGAAATAAGAAATAAAATTCAAAAAGCACAGCAGCTCCAAATAAACAGGGTAAATGAAACAAGACACGATAGACAATTCCAAGTAGGCGATACAGTTCTTGTAAAGGCAAACAGACGTTTAGGGAACAAATTGACACCACTGTACAATGAAAACAAAATTGACGCAGACTTGGGGACAACGGTCTTAATAAAAGGGAGGGTGGTCCACAAAGACAACCTAAGGTAAACAAAACATTAAACCCTTTTTATTTCTTTTTATCTTTAGGATTTGGGCTATAATTCTCTTCGCCACAACGGTAGCGGCGAAACTTACCGATTATACGAACACAGATTACATACCGATCTCAGACGGATATGTAACCATTTGGACGGATTTCCAATATTTAAAACATTCAACTAATCTTACTCTATACTCAGCAATAGTAGAGGACACGAAGAAATTAAGACAAAATTTTCCACGATCACATATGAGACAGTTATTAGACACAGATATACAACATATAGAAGCACTAATAGCCACAGTAAATATCCATCATAGACATGCTAGGAGCATTAATATGCTAGGCACCGTTCTTAAAGTCGTAGCTGGCACGCCAGACTCCGACGACTTGGAAAATCTTAAATTTACACAGAAAGAACTTGTAGAATCAGAAAACAGGCAAGTAACTATAAACACAAAAATGCAAGAACAAATAAATAAGCTAACCGACACAGTAAACCTCATAACAAAAACAAAGCAAATAGATACAGAACATTTGTATGAGACACTGCTCTCAAGAAACAGAATAATTATTTCAGAACTAGAAACCTTGATGCTATCAGTAACACTTGCAAAGGTTGGAATTGTAAACCCCTCCATATTAGATTCTTCTGACTTAAAAAATATTGTTAATGAACACCCTATAAATATCACTATTACTGACTTAATGGAAGTATCTCAAGTTAAAGTCTTGCTAAATAATAACTTTTTACACTTTATTATAAGATACCCTAAGCCTAACATAGTATGTAAAAAACTAACAATATACCCTGTCCAACACGATGGCATTGTAATCAATTTCGCCGAAGACTACGATATAGCTGTTTGCGACAACCATGTAATATCAATAGGAAATTGTAGCACAGCCCTCACAACAACGTTCTGTAAGAAATTACCCTATACAACGTGCGCGCAACAACTGCACTCAGGTGGCACTGCACATTGCTCAACTCGACCCAGCCATCTTGAACCTCTAACCATCATCGACGATGGCGTTATCATCATCAACGACAGAGTGGCTATAGTTGACGAGCAAATGGTGAAAGGGACATTCCTCCTTACCTTTGACAACGAGATAAAGGTAAACGGCACCGTATATAAAAATCCAAAAAAATACGTGAGGAAATCCCCGAGACCAGCGGCATCCACGCTTCTAAATATAACGGATCATCAGGAAATACCGAGCCTGCCGTACCTACAGAAGCTAAGCATAAAAAACATCCGGGACATTGCTCAAATAGAAGAACAACTGGTAAAAAGACCAATAATATCTGGACTAACCGTGGTCATCATTCTACTTTCCTGCTACGCCTCAATGAAACTTTATCAAAGACATCAGAGGAGCAAACGTCAACTTGATCTTCAAGCGGTAATTAACAGTTTGAAGAACTCCGAGGACGTCATTCACCTAAGTGGGGGAGGAGTTAACACAATTGATCAGCAGAACGTAAATATTGAAGCTGACCATGCATTCTCAGCATAAATGCTTACGACACCAGCTGTCTCAAGCGGACATTGCACAACAGCGGAAGCGTCCACGCGCAACAATGTTGCTGACCAGCGACCTAGTACTGTATGCAATGCCAGCGTTTTCAGGGCTTAGGGCTAGCTTCTATTATAAGAACGATTGTCAAATAGAGTTAGTTGATTTTTGGAAATAAAGAACGTCGGTCATCGCCACGGAATTCACAAAGTCTTCTCATTTTTCGAATAAGTGTTAACGCCGATACTCCGTACGCGCTTAACATAATTTCGAAATCTTAAAATAAATAACTTACATACTCAACACTCAACGTCGCTGGGTAAAACATATTTATATTTGTTTCTGTGAGCTACATTTGCATTTTTACCGAAGAGCAATGTATTTTGATAAATGTAGGTGTGCGTTATGGATATGAAGGTAAATTAATAGCTAAATACTCTCTAGTTTGTATAAATAATTTAAGACTAAATTAATTTATTAATTAAAGTAAGCCACTGACGTACTGTATACATCATAGTACATAAATTCTGTGCATGAATGTATGCTTGAATGTATTTTAACTTTAACACTTAATACGTGATTGAATCTTAGGCATATTTACTTAAATATCAATTTCATAATTTTGACCAATTGCTTTGCATTCGTATGTTATCAATTCCGTGCTCAAGAGCAACACACAAAACACTCTACAATAGTTTACACTGTGAAGACTAACCTATATTAAATTAAAATATTTCAACATTAAGAGCATGGAAAATTCAATATATCGCAAAGGATACAAATAAGAATTATTCATAAACGTTGAATAGCTATGGGCTTTTGTTTCTTTACGAATAACAAAAACAAGAGCATATGTTACTTATACACGTACAACGTACAACAATTCTACAACTAGAGCTGCATCGAAATATATAAAATATTGCAATTTGAATTATTTGTTAAACTGGCGAGTACTTTTTGGATATTGCTGCGAGTTCTATTATGAATTAAACTCAACTTCCTTAGCATACGCTTCGTGCTGCATTTTCTCACGTAACCGCGTAATGTCCTCATCAATTCGAACAATTGCACGTATTTTCTGCAAGATTTTCAAGTAATTATTAATAAATATGTGGTTTAAAAATAGATTAATTGAAAACTTAGTAGTCTAAAACTTATTAATGATATTTGAGTCCGACTAGAATATCCAGTTTCCAACATTAAAATAAACTAAAGAAGCTATATTATACTCTTTTCATTTATATACTCATTCATTGCTGAAAGAATTCCAGATCTTCAAACTTTTATATGAAAGAATTTACAAGGCTCTTATAAGAAATTTACTTCATCACAGCCAACACAAATGGCCTTAATTGAAGCCAATTAAGATCACAAAACTTAAATTACAAATAAAATGGAATATGAATTCTTACTTCGCATAAGTCTCCTGGCGTTCTTTTCCATAACCAAAACATATACGCTGGAATATACAGCATCGAGGACAATGCAGTGAACCAACCAAACGCATGTGCCCACCATGGATAGCTGTAGTCCAGATATTTAATTGGCGTCCATTGCACTATATTGAAGAAGAACACACCCTGCGCAAAGAAGCCAATGAGGAATTCGAGTAAGTTTAGTATTTCCATAGATGGATGACTGACTCACCAAGCATATTGCAGGTGTTGTGACACACCAGCAAAACTTCCACCAAACAGTTGGGTAATATCCTATCATGTCTTTGATGCCATCGTAGAAACGATCAACTCCGTAACACCAGGATATCGAGACACACTCAAAGAATATAAGCCAAAGAAGGCAAAAGCCGCTAACTGCGTATGAATCAAGTATTTGGAAAATATACATGCCGCCCTGAAAATAATATTAATATTATTTATTATTAATATTATTATTATAAGAATAATAAAATATAATAATATTTATGAATGAAAGATAGGCATAACGGACGATGTCTTCTTGACCAACATTTTTTTAATTTAAAACTGATTAAAGATAACCATTATTCCATTGTTATACTTAATAAGATTTAGAAGAATGTCGTTCAGATTCAGAAGTTGAGTTTGGTTAGAATATCTTACGTTTCGTAAAAGCCCCTAGATAAGCTTAGATAAATAATTCGAATGTCTGTTTAATCTATACACACAAAAATACTTTTATCGATTTCGACTTAAGTTCCATCACTCAAATCTGTGGCATCATTACAGATTACAGATTATGCATAACCAGACTCACTTGTGTTATGCAGGTTAAGCCAACTAAATAGCTCAACATGCAAACGATGGCTATGAAAATCTCCTTGCGTTTGCGGAGCAGTTGGGGCCACTCGTCAATGATGGCGGTGATAAAGCCTTCCATAGTACAGAACTGTGAATCTAAACCTATAAGAAGGAGCATGAAAAAGAAGAGACATGACCACATCGGAGATCCCGGCAGCTGCAGCACCGCCGACGGATACACAAGGAATGCCAATCCGGGACCTGAAGCAAGAAGTTACGTATGTTGAGTAGAGGCATATCTATAGCATTAGCAAAGTTCGACAACACGAACCTGATGCCGCCACCTCTGCCACTGGCCTTTGTTGCTCATGAGCCATGAATCCAATCACTGAGAATATAACGAAGCCCGCAAACATACTCGTACTCGAGTTCACTGTGCATACAATCAGCGCGTCCCTAAATTGATGTGTTTGAAATCGTTGAGATGCAATGGTTCCCACTTAATATAGGATGAACTTACTTGTATACATTGTTCGTAAACTTATTGTAACTTCCGAGAGCCACCAAAGTTCCAAGGCCCAATCCATAGGAAAAGAAAATTTGCGTAACGGCATCGATCCACACCTGTAGAATGCATAACTTAAAGCATTTCATGCATGCATATCTAAGGCTACGTACCTCTGAATGAGTGAGCTTTGAAAAGTTGGGTATAATATAGAACTTGATACCCTCCAGTGCACCAGGCAGGGTAATGCCACGAATCAATAAAACGGTCAGCAGGACGTATGGGAAGAGCGCAGTGAAATAGACGACTTTTCCGGTCCACTTTACGCCCTTCCAAATGCAGAAATAGCAAAGAATCCACACTAGAAGCAAGGTGCCCGCTAGCTCCCAGCGAATATTACCTAAATCATCAATACCCGAGGATATTTGCAATGCCCTTCGCCTGTAATATTTAAAGTTTTAGTTAATGAGTAACATAAAAAAGGAAAACTTCGGTTATAGATATAGTGAGCCTGTTCTATCTAAAGAGAAATGCGTAAGAGTAGAACAAGTTTTGCATCTGAGCTATCATTACCACACCGATCTATTACCAGATTCACTATGCATCTAACATATTTATACAAACTTCAGTTCGTGACATTTCTCTTTCGTGTTGCTTCTTTTTTACTGAAAAGCAAACCTTGGGCAAAAGGATATTCAAATTTCAGCAGCTGCAACTGAAACGATAAAACATTCTTTTCGTCTGTCTGGCTTTATATTTAAAAGTGTCCATTTTTGATTTTACTCGAAGATCTTTTCTAATCTCGTCGATCAAGTTTGTTTTAAGCCATAAACATCTTTTCCTATTTCTAAGAAATTTTGAGCTGCATTCAAATTTGTTCATGTTTAACTAGCTAAAGTTATCAATTTTGTTATTGGGATTCTTCTTAATGTAAGTACTAATCCTAGCAGGTTATCTAACTAACATTTGCATGATACATATCAAACATAATATACCAAACATAAAAAAGTGAGTGGAAATTGTTAAACATACTCCCAAAACTCTTTGACCGGATCTGTTAGCTCAGTTGTGGAAATATTTGCGGCTGCCACTGAGCAAACCTTGCTCGCTGATCCATTGATCATTTTATCCCAGCAATGGAGATTCTTCCTCTCATACTGATTGACGCAGTTGACTGTGTTCCACCAGTTGTTGCATGTACGCCAAGGCACATCTGTAATGGAAATGTGTCTAAGAAAGCGGCTCAGAGGAATATTGGTGAGGTTCCAAAGACTTACCAGCTCGCATTGACATGAAGAAGTAAAATACTGCCCAGGCCAAGATAACAATGTAGTAAACATTCATCCAGCACGACATCACAGCGGCAGCATATCCAATTCCTTTCATATAAATAGATCATATGAGCTGACAATGCCATTGAGTTCTCGCCTTAAGCTCCGCTTACCCTTGAAAATTGGAGCAATTTTAAACACGCCCAAGCCGCCAATAGTCAACATTTGACCAAGCGCCAGCTCCATGAAGAACATCGGAATACCAGCTAAAAACAATGTCAAGATATATGGAAGAATGAACGCGCCACCTCCATTCTTATAGCACAAGTAGGGAAACCGCCAAACATTGCCCAAGCCAATGGCCAGGCCGACTACAGACAAAATGAAATCGAGCTTTGAGCTCCAACTTCCGCGCTCTGGCAGTGTGATTTTGGTGAGCTTAAAATAAAAGGAAAGGAAGCTAAAGAAACTTCGCATAATTCTATAACTGGTAAAATAATTATGTTACCATCTCCATTTCTGGGAACAATAGAATTTATTCGCCTATTTCAAAAATGAGCAAACAATTGAATTCATACATTAAACGGATCATTTCGTCGTCATCGTTCATCATTTTACAACTCCGACAAAAAACGGGAAATGCCAATTAGCATAAAGAATATTTGAATGCCATAGCTGTGACCTGATTTTTTTATTTCTGCTTCTTGTGTTGATCAAAAAGTTCATATAAAGGGATGAATCAGTGTAGTCAGTAGTGAACTCAGTGCGATGAAAATGTAAAATTGTCTCTCTGCGTGACATCCATTGTGGCTCGTGTTACGCGGCGTTACACGGCTCTCTTACTCTTAAGTGTTGTCAGTCACTATAAGAGTTAGTTTTATTACTTAATGTTTGTATTTAAAATACTTCAACTATTTGTTAACAAATCCAATTCGATTTCGATTAGCTTTTGATTATTTAAAGGAATTTTGAAAAACTTCTTAAAAAAAATCATATACTCATAGAAATTAAAATACTCAAAAGAATATTCAACAAAAAAATATCTTGAAATACCATAAAAAAATATTTTCTATTTTCTTTTATTTTCTAATTCTTTTTTATTTGTTAATTATAATGAAATTTGTCGAAAAATAGTTTAGTCCATCACAATTATAAATATTTCTTGAAACATCAGCTCAGATATATAAACCTAACAAATTAAATCAAATAAGTTCCAGTTATCAAAATGAATTTCATTTAAATTAACAAAAAATATGTTTAAAATGTTTTCATATTCTTATGAATTTATAAAATACACTCTCAAAGTTGCAAATTAATTTAATATTTATATTATTTTGGCAAATAAATATTTCTAAAATGTTTAATAAGCTTATATATCATTTTTTTCAATGCAAAACAACATACCTGATGACTTGTTGATGTGGCTGTAGTGTCCGTTGCTGGCTGGGCTGATAAGTCTTTGGGGCACAAAAGCTTTCCCATTTCAATGGGATCGTGCTTTTGTCGATCCCCTCCATCGCCATCGTTGCCACAATTACTAGACATTTCGTCAACCTTCTTCGCCCTATTTGTATTTAGATCGGTCTTTGATGATTATTCTCTGAATACAAATTTAGACCTGGGAACACACAACAGAAGTGGATTTAAGGCATATTTATACTTAGCATAGAACAATTAATAAAATCGCGATGCAAATTTAACAAACATTGAACTAGATATTCAATTATGTTTTGTTATAGAATTATGTTCTCGAGTCCATAAACACATTTATTTTTCTATTGGATTTAAATCTCTTATAGCAGATCCTTAGCAAGCGGAAGAAAATCTCATAGAGTATGTACAAAGGATATTATTGCTTTGTTTCTGTAGCTTTTTTCAACTTGTACTTATATATGCATATGCATATCGAATATGTACAGCTTTATTTATTACATAAGCATCACAGTAAAACGAATCTGATTTATCACGCACCCACGACACCCAACCGGGTCACTTGCTAACATCCAACTGAATCTCTCTCGGTCTCCGAGCTTGGGCCAGCGCAAATATTCATGAACAAAACCCCAGTTGATGCCTATTAAAGCAGATATGCCAGTAATTTAAGCGATGCTTATGCGAAGCCAAGCTGCCTGTCATTTTTACATACAATTTAATTTAATAATGATTTACTGAGAGGGTTCTGACCGCAGCCAATGGCTACCTAGAAAACGCGGGCAGCACATCTACAGACGCTATACATAGCCACGATCCCAATTGTATTCACCCTACCCAACTAACACTCTGATCACTCGCTTACACTTCATATGCCATTTACATATGTAGTCCATACCAAAGGGGTCCCAAATGCCATTTCTCCATTATTTTCCCGAAAACTGTAAATATTTTATAACATGCTTAAAGTTGTAAAGCAAATAAATAGAATTGAATCCACTAACGCCTACATATGCTCATACTTATAACTTAGAAACGATTGTTCAAAATATGTTACACAAAGAATATAAATATTATATTATATAGATATAAATATTATATACAGATATACATATATTATATATAGATGCATATTTTATTAAATTATTTAATTATTTCGTAAACTCTTAAACATGATCATGATGAGCTTGCTTCATCTCGAATCAACAGTCGCCTACGGGGAACAAAAAATTTAAATTTTTAACTGAACCCAGTTATTTATTATTTATGAGCTGTAAAATGAAATATAATAGGTAAATGTTCCAAAATGTTATGGATTTTTATTTATATCCTCAACTCAGTGAAAATGAAAAATGGTTTTGATAAAATGTATGCAATATGCGTGGCAAACCCCCTTTGTATATATCTTCTTGATTAGGACGACTAGCTGTTCGTGTGTCTGAAACTTTCGATCTAAGCACTTATAATGCCTAGACACCTGGACTATTAAATTTGTAGGTTCGTCTATAGCACGTGTATATCAGGTTTATTTAAAAAAAAAAACGACTGATATCGATTACGTTATCGAAATTCAATTATTAAATTATATCTCGTACGTCTTTGGTGTTAAAATCTTCCTTCATCCTTCATTGCATCTTGTGCAAGTAGTTTCATGTACATTTATATACAATTTTGGGTTTTGAAACATATTGGATATCGAAAATATGCTGAAAATTTCATTCAGAAGTTATTAAACGCAACGTTTGCCCACGCCACAAAAGCACGTGACAAACTGCCTCAGGAGGACACATTTTTCCTATAGTTGTGCATAGATCTACTCGCAGAATCACATTTGCGATTGAAATGTGTTTGAGTCGCCCGCTGCTTCTTTAGTTGAGATTTGCAACTCTTCATTCAAGCGGTCAGTTGCGACGTTAGTAAAGGCGGTGCACGTTCTGTGGAAGAAGCACGTTGCATAGAAAAAGTTGTTGGTTCGTGTCCTCGGGTCACTAATGTTCGTTTTACTTCTGTTTTTATTTCTTTTTTTTTTTGCTAAAACATAGTATTGTGGACTTAGGGTATCTCCTAGTCGGACATCTCGGACTATAGCTTGCACCTATTGCAAAACGGGCGCGATTGTTGTCTTGACTCTAGAATCGTGCCTCTGCTTGTTGACAATTTGCATAATTCTATTTATGAGAGGCTCTAAGTAACGAGTCTATTCAAGTGTTGTTGGATTTTAGAATATTTTTGAAGACTCGTCTTCAAGTAGCCTTAGACTTATTATTTGCATACCTTTTGACTATTTCAAGACTGCTCTTAATATATAGAAGTTAAAAAGTCTTTGAGATATTCTAGAAAATGTGTATGTAAACAGTTAACATACTTATGTATGTATGTATTCATATGCTCAGATATGGAATATCTATGGAATTTGTAGTATATGTTCAAATGTATGAACAATGTTTTAATAAGGGATAGTTGGTCTTGAAATAAATTAGAGTCAATACAATTTTAATAAGCATATTAGATATATATTTAATCAAATCTGCCAAACATATTCTTAGCCATGCATTTCCACATTTTAATATTATTATCAATGTTTTAAGTAATCATCAATAAATTCACATTTCATAACTTAAGTAAGTTGCAGCTCTTCAACAAATTTATATTGTGTACATACATAAATAAATAATATTTTGCTAGACACATAAAGCTTATCTATAACTGGGCATTCCCAAAGCAATGCTGTGCCTCTCGTTGTGAACACGCCATCAATTTTGATGCTAGTGGTAAATGTTCTTTTTCATACGCACATTCCGAATTTAACTGCCCTCACAGCCCGAGAACCAAATTTTGAAAGCACACACATTTCAACATCAGATGTTTGGTCGGAAATCGGTCATCAAATTTATATTTTATACCCTTGCAGAGCGTATCACGAAGTGTGTAATGGATTGCAGGGGTCACCCACGAAAGCCTCGCTGCTTTAGATTCCATTGATGGCTGCTTGTCTTTTGATTCGCTTTTCATTTACATTAGTACTATTCTCTCACCATGTGCCTTAGGTCTCCCATATTCATTTCCATTATCATCGCAAAAAAGAGTATTTCACATTTCAAGTCGAGAATGAAACGGGTTTGGTTGCCAAGTAGGTCTGCGCTCTATCACACATACCTTAATTGCATGGAATAGGGGCACAACGCATACAGCGCTGCTCGCATTACTGCCACATAGATAGATAGATAGATATAATTATTTAATCGTATGCCTCGACACATACACACTCAATTGCTAAGTGGCAAAATATCAACATGTGCGCTCGGAAATGCATAATCTTGTTACTAACAGGCTCACTTCCGAATTCGATTATACGCTCGCAACTAAATATTAAATACACAGCGCAGCCTCAGCCAGGAGTGACTGATTGCATTATACCCTGTAAGCACTAAATATAGGCATAGATATATGGAGACTCTTTCAACTGACTTCACAAAGATGTCATCAAATCTTGAGTCTTAGTAGCTACACAAAGAGTTTATTGGATCTGTGAAATGTCCTTCTTCGAGCTGTTAAATATAAAGATTCGGAATTTTACTTATAGTGATCATAAATGTACCACATAAGTCTTAAGTGCTCTTCATAAATTTCAAACATATTTTCAAGCATTTTCACATTTAGAAATTGTAAACAAACGGCGTCGATTACCGAAAAGACGATGATCTCAGCCAGCAGAGATCGCTTAGCTCATTCACTTCTTGATCGAGAAAAACTATATTTGACACAATTTGAAACGATAAATATCTTAGACAAGAATTAGAGTCACCTAAGAACTCAAATGTTGCTTATATAGAATTAAAATTAGTAAATTCCTCTCTTAAAAAATTCAATAATAAAATAAACTTCTTTGTTCCATATTAAATTCAATCAAGAACTTGATCGGTTTCTTATTTGAAAGGCATTTTAATGCTAATATGAGCTAAGAATACTGAAATAGTGAATATCCATTAGATATTCAATTATTCTAGAATAGAATTAATATTTCCTTGAAAACTATCTGGGCTGAAATGCTGAGGGACCAATTGACTCAAAACTGAATGCACTGAAATGACAACAAGAGTATTATAGAAGTATGAAAGTATTTATTATTCTGTGCAACTGTAGTTTCACAAACATCTGTTTATATATCCTGGAGAACATGTTTATTTATTTTGCGCACATATTTTCTCTGTCACCCCATACAACTCAGCGCGCAAAAGAACAAATCAGTTGAGTGTTAGACCCGAGAAGTGAGCGTTCGATTTCAGTTTCATTGGCAAGTACAATTTTTTCTTTTTTTTTGTTTTGAATATATGAATGTGTATGTCTATGTGGACATGTATGCGTGTGTGCCTGTTTATACTATGGAATGATATACAAATGGAATGGAGTACTTTATATTGTTTTCTCTCGAATATTTTAGGGCGTAGCTGGACAATGGCAAGCGGCTTTGACTTCAGTAAATTGTGCTCAACTTTCAGCGAGATCTGTCCGGACTTTGGCGCAACGCATCAGACTGACAAATCGCAGAGCCTGGACTTTGCTAACAAAGTACTCTTCGACCTCGGTCCCAAGATGCGCCAGATTAAGCAAAGTGGCTCAGCGCAAATGTGGCGCTTAATCTTTAATGGGGACACAAGCGTATTTGTCTACAGCTACACCTTTCCGCATCGGATTAACGTTAATCCGCAACTACACGACAAGAAGCTGTATCTCACTCTCAAGCAGGCTGGCCTGTTGGCCGCCAGCAAAATATGCTCCATGCTGCATGATTTCTATAATCCGAGAGACAAGATACTATTGACGCCTTTGGCTCGAGCCGTCTTCCTGCCACAAAACATTCCAAAGATTGCCGTCGAACTGACAAGGCTGCTCGGTCGAAGAGTGGATAGCAACGAAGTGGTCAAGGCTGTTATCAGCAGCTGTCAGACCGATGGCTTCCACTTGCAGCACAGCCAGTGCCACATTGCCCTCGTTGCCATTGAGGTGAGCGTCCCTGCGGCCACACAGCGCCAGAAGCTGCGTGAGAAGACAATCCGGCTCTATGCCAAACATGGCAAGACTTATAAAGAGGCGTACTACAATATCTACATCAAGTACTCCAAATTAGGCGGCAGAGCAGCAGACATAGAGCCGACGCAGTCAAGTTCAAGCGACCAAAGCCTGCCCACAGCAAAGAGCATAGACGCCGTCTTACGCAGCATTGCCAAGTCTGCTGACGATCCGCTTAGCGGTGGCACAGTGGAAATGCAATTTGTGGCACATTCACCTGGTTTCAGTGAAATCGAAACGACTCTCCCAACGCCAATCAACATTCAAGTCGAAACCACAAGCTTGGACCGTGTCAGATTCATTCGAACAACCAAACGTCCTAACTAGATTATGATATCTTTAGGAACTATCAACAATCATTTTTTGTAAAGACCGGCAACCACAGCTTGTTGCTGGAATCAAACAATTTCTTTAAGCAATAGAAAAATATATTCAATAAGTTGGTACATCAAAGAGTTTTACAAATTACAGATGATTATATTATAATAATAATGACCGTCAATTCGACCATGATGACCCAAACTGATCATGTAAAGAAAAATTATCAAATGCAGCTGCGTTGCTTCTTAATATATTTGAAAATTTCAAATCAAAATTTAGTCACCGTAAACGACCCGAAATCGAATAATTAAATTGACACAGTCATGGCGCACTCATTTTTTTCTTCTGTTCGCGGGCACGATGCGAGCATAGCTGCAGTCCGATGTTCCCTCAAGACTTGAGGAGATTACTAAGCTGTGCTTATCGCGCTGTGAACCGAGCAACTGTACGACTCCATCGACAATTTCGTCCAAGCTCACGGGCCGATTGTAGGACAAGAGCACCGCCGAAATTATAGGCAGCAGTATTACATTGTAGTCCGGCTCCATTATGCTTTTTTGAACTGTGTGATTTTTGATCATATTTAAAATGCCAAATTTGTTGTTGATTTGGTGATTTACTTCTCAAAATGGATTTGTGTTTGCCTATGTTTCATGAAAGCCCACAACTGATCGGGCTGACAGCTAAGCCCCAGCTAGCTCCAAGTCACATCCGAATCCACATCCATAACTCAATCCTAAGCACTTGTCTGGTCACCGGTTGTTGAATTTCCGCCCTTCTGTCGCCCCAGCCCACCCCCGTCCATTCGTTTGGGGCCAATGAAAAATTCAATTTGAAAAAGTGTCACTTGTCAGCTGGCGATATATGTGTAAGTCCCCTGCTCGCTTTCCATTGTGCTATTCCCTTTGTTGTCGTTGCCATTTGGCTATTCCGTTCTGTTTTGCTTTTTTGGCATTGCGAAATATCAATACTACGGATATGTGACAAGCATTTCATATGCAAATTGATCAGAGCCCACAGTTCAGTGAGTCAATAACCAAGTGCCACCCACGCATATGCAAATGAGTCGCTCCCCGGGAAACACTTGAAGCTACGCTGCGCCTGTACGCAACGGCAAATACATTTTATTATTGCCATTTAACTGTCTTGTGGGGTAAACGGTTATCAGGCTTAAAACTATATGGTCTTTTTACTATAAAGTGTTCACACTTATGCAGAGAATATATACATGCGCATCTACATATATCTATATCTATGTTCCAAGTAGCGAATTTTCATATTATTCCATGACTCATAGAGATAAGTAAAAAATTACGCCTACAACGAGCACGATCGTCGCTGAAATCTATAGCTCATCATCATCTTCAGCGATATCAACTTAACTTGCCGTCCAGATAATAAATGTATATATTATTATATATTGTGAACAACATATATTGTGAACAAAGCTTTAAATAAATATTTTGAGAGTAATGGAAATATGGTTATTTCCAGGGATGCGAGCGAATATCTTCAATCTTATATTAATTTCTATGACTAAACATTTTAAGTTATATATTATAGTTTATAGTTTAAATATTTCGTAAATAATAGTTCTGATTATTCTTTGGGAATGGTTGTTGCACTGTTAATAATATAATTTCTCTATTTAGTTAATAACTAAGGAAACTCGAACTTTTATTTATCATTTACATTATATTTATTTATATTTATTTATTATTTATTTATTTACATTTATTTATATTTATTTTATATTTATTTCATATTTTGGCGTCAATTTCTATTACATCAAATGGTTTTTGTTTAACATTTTATTAATGATTTAATGCAATTGCAATTGAATCGTATCGCTTCTGCAGCCCTGGCGATAGATTTTCAATTACTCATGCATACAGAGCTTAGCGGGTGGATCGGGATCGGATATCATCTCTCTTTCCTCATGACTTGACCGATTTTTATTTCTGTTTGCGCCGCAATCGGGCGAACTTCAGTTCGTGACTATAAGCAAAAGCACAAACATTGAAGAATCGCGCAGTTCGTTGGCGGTCTATATAAAAACAAAGAAAATGTAAACAGAGATTACAATTTGCATATAGAATACTTTTTGGTATACTTATTTCAAAACAATACAGTTATATGAACTATTTGTATAGCTAACTATATTTTGTGTCACTGTGCCATGGAATTATTTTTACAGTTATGCAAATGTTATGGATTTTTCCTAATTCATTATCGGAACTTGAGTTGAGCTCAGGAGCATTTAATCTTATCTGTAAGCAAATACACATTTGCCTCAGATGTCGCAATATATCTGCTGACGTTATCGAAATGTGATGTAGACAATCTTAGCGGCTTCATATAGTCCCTGATACTGCGTGACATGTAAATGAGAAATCTATAAGCAAAGATTCCATACTTAGATCTTTGCTTATAGATTTCTCAGGATACCTAATATAGATGGCATCTTCCATTCCCTTAAGTCTATTTAGGCATATTTGTATTCGGTTCTTTAAGTCAATGGAGCTTGGCTCGGTTATTCAGCAAATTCAGCATCGTATTTCTGTTGCAGTCGTTGCAAGTGTCTCTTCGATGTGACTAATCTCATCCGCATAAAAATTCTCTACATATCACATAGCTCCACAGAAGCCAAGCTGTGTGCTAAAATATTCCCAAGAAAAAAGTAATCCCAAGAAGTATTTCTTGAAGGGTATAAAATACTTATTTGATCTTTTATGCTTTATATCTAAGATAGAAACTTTGTTAAAGATAAAGTCGTTTATTATTTGCTTGCAGATACTCATTAAGAATGAGCGAAATAGCAAAGCCAAAATTTATTTTCGATTTTCAAAAGTTGATGAAAACTTTCACTGAAATTTGCCCGGACTTCTGCGATGAGCCGAGCTATGCAAATGCAACAATGAGCCGCCGCTTCGCCGAGCAGGTAATTTTCGAATACAGCAGGGAGGCCAAAGAGGCGAAGGCGAAGAACATCGATGAGGTGCGGAAAATGACGCTGGTATCGAAGTGCGCGCAAGAATATTCAATAAAAAACAAGGTGACCATATTGCTGTACACCAAAAACCCGCCGCCGCCCACGCAGCCAAGCCTGCTGCACGGCCATCTAGAGCTGACCTTCAAGCAGGCTAGTCTCCTGGCGGTGGCAAAGTACTGCCAGCTGGTGCCATATCTAGTGGCGCGCAACGAGATAGTGCTCACTCCGTTGGCTGGGGCGATATTCGCCAAGGAGGATTTACCTGAGTTTGCTAGAGCCTTGCGCGAGCCACTGCCCGATCTGGTGATGGCCATCATCAGCAGCTGCCAAACAGACGGCTACTATCTTCAGCACAGCCGTTGCGACATCGCACTCGCAGCCCTTATCAAGACGGTTAACGATTTGAAGATGCGAGCATCGATCGTCAAGAAGACCATCAAGATGTACAAACTGTATGGCAAGGATTTCGACATGGCCAGGTTTGAAATATGCATCAAGTTTCTGAAGTCCGAAAAAGTGAAGGGCTCGAACTATGACATCGAGCAGATATTCTCAAGTGTAATGTCGATTGACCTGAAGAACAACGTTCAGCCGCCCCCAAATCCTTTGCGTTCCACGGAGAAGCGAAAAATTAAATGCGCTGCGAACTTCAGCGGAAAAACTGATCAAAACCGCAAGAAATGAAACTTTAAACAGTTTTTATTTTTGTACTTGTTTCGTGGGAAATGCTAAAAGAAGACGGATTTCAACATTCGCTGGCTTCTTATGCCCTCAGCTTTAAACTACGTGGTCAATCTTGAAATTGGATAAATCGATTCCAAACCATTCTGCTTCTGGATTTAATCCGTTACTAAAATATTTCTATATTTAATATATACAGCTATAATCAAAAAAAAACTAAAAAATGAGTCTAATATATATTAAAACTGTATTGTAAACTTTCATAAAATTCAATAAATATATTTTCTTCTTCTTATAATTGCTGATTTATTAAATTCCTTGTTCTGTTTATCTAATTCTTGTCAAGCTAAACTAATTTTTATAGATCAAGAACTGAAAAATGACAGGAAAGAGAAGAATCTACTAAGCGCATCTCAGCACTAAACGTTTACTTCAATATTCGAATTTTGAAATATTTTTCAAAAATGATTTTTCTGTCGATACACCGGAAATAGTGGGACGTAGGTGTACATAATGAATATAAATAAAACTGAGGCAACACATATCCAATTAGTACAAACTTGAATTTACTGATGCCCATACAACTGCACAGACATTTTCGGGGATCTATGAGTTAGAAGTTTGAGCTTTCAGTTTGCTTTATTGTTCGTCATTTTGACTTGGATGGCAGAGCTTATTGTAAGATTTAAGTTGGTTGTTTGCGGTGTTTTCTGGTTAAAGTTTTCCTTTGCGCTTTGTTGCTATGGCGACGACAAAGCCTTACAGAGATTATGCCGTGACTAGACGGGGGGAAGTGGCTCGGGTCAGACCCTTTTGCGGTTTCTGCGTCGCTCGCAAAACTTTGGCACTAAATGTGCCGACGCTGAAAAGCCTTAAAGTTGCGTGGGATATCACAGGAATATCTAAGGCAAAATGCATAGTTGATAAGCGACAAGGGACCAAAATAAAAAAATAAAAATGGGAAACAAGTGCCCTTTTTCTTATGCCTCAGGCATCCAGTGAAAAAGGGAATACAAATTATTAGAAATAATATTTCAGCATTATCATTATTTTAAGAGACTGTTGGCCTAATTAATTTGCAAGTTTAAAAGATTTTTGTTTTATTTTTTAGAATTAATTTAAATTTTACTTCAAAGAAGTGTAAAGCTTTAAAAAATATTTATTAAAATTTTATAAAGTGGAATTTCATTGTACCAATATGACTATATTTAAGTTGTTAGACTCACTTAGACAATAAGCAACGAGCAAACATGTATATAAATATGTTATATAGATATGTTCGAGTTCTTGACTAAGTCCTTCGTTTCATATTTCAAACTTGGCGCCTAAGATCGGTGTCTAATCGAAATCATCAACACAAAAACTAAGAAATGTTTCAGTGTTGGTAAACAAACGCATGAATTGGCAAAATACTTATCGATGCCGATGTATCGAAATGACACGATCAACCCTGGGCATAAATAAGCGGCAAAAGAAGCATCAAAACATATAATCAAAACACAAGTGGATTTATGCGCTAATCTTTATTTGTTATAAATGGAATCCATAAATTTCAATGATTTCTCCGTTAAGGAACGTCACGAGATCATTACGGCGTTTCTCATTAAAATGCGTAAAGCAAATTCGATGCACAGCGCGCACAGTTTCTTTCAATATTATCTCAAACAATTTTACAAGATGCCAACGAAACTGCTCGACGATATAATCTATTGCCAGCGCGCTATGAAAACGTATCTCTCTGTACATCAGGTAATAATTGTTAGCTCCATCTTTGATAGATTAACTGATCGACATATGTTCTCTAATAATTTGCAGACAATCACAAATGTCTTTGCCGCGCAGGCAGATGCCGTAAGTTGCATTTGTTTTTATTATACTATGAACCAACCCACATATATAACTGAGGCTGTAATAATTTTCTGAAAATGTTTCTGAAAGGCTGAAAATGGCATGGCTGACCTCATATATTTTTGATCCACCATGTCCGTCTATCCGTCCGCTTTTTAGTTCTATTCAGGAGTAATAATCGATCACTTAGACCACATATTTATTATCGAAGAATCGATATTGAGAACTACGAAAGTTTGAGGGTATCTACTAGCCGATTTTGATTTCTGTTTGCGCCGCAATCGGGCGAACTTCAGTTCGTGACTATAAGCAAAAGCACAAACATTGAAGAATCGCGCAGTTCGTTGGCGGTCTATATAAAAACAAAGAAAATGTAAACAGAGATTACAATTTGCATATAGAATACTTTTTGGTATACTTATTTCAAAACAATACAGTTATATGAACTATTTGTATAGCTAACTATATTTTGTGTCACTGTGCCATGGAATTATTTTTACAGTTATGAAAATGTTATGGATTTTTCCTAATTCATTATCGGAATTTGAGTTGAGCTCGAGAGCATTTAATCATATCTGTAAGCAAATACACATTTGCCTCCGATGCCGTAATATATCTGCTGACGTTATCGAAATGTGATGTAGACAATCTTAGCGGCTTCATATAGTCCCTGATACCCCGAGAACTGCGTGACATGTAAATGCTAAGTATGGAATCTTTGCTTATAGATTTCTCAGGGAACCTAATATAGATGGCATCTTCCATTCCCTTAAGTCTATTTGGACATATTTGTATTCGGTTCTTTAAGTCAATGGAGCTAGGCTCGGTTAGTTCAAAACAAATTCAGCATCGTATTTCTGTTGCAGTCGTTGCAAGTGTCTCTTCGATGTCACTAATCTCATCCGCATAAAAATTCTCTAAATATCACATAGCTCCACAGAAGCCAAGCTGTGTGCTAAAATATTCCCAAGAAAAAAGTAATCCCAAGAAGTATTTCTTGAAGGGTATAAAATACTTATTTGATCTTTTATGCTTTATATCTAAGATAGAAACTTTGTTAAAGATAAAGTCGTTTATTATTTGCTTGCAGATACTCATTAAGAATGAGCGAAATAGCAAAGCCAAAATTTATTTTCGATTTTCAAAAGTTGATGAAAACCTTCACTGAAATTTGCCCGGACTTCTGCGATGAGCCGAGCTATGCAAATGCAACAATGAGCCGCCGCTTCGCCGAGCAGGTAATTTTCGAATACAGCAGGGAGGCCAAAGAGGCGAAGGCGAAGAACATCGATGAGGTGCGGAAAATGACGCTGGTATCGAAGTGCGCGCAAGAATATTCAATAAAAAACAAGGTGACCATATTGCTGTACACCAAAAACCCGCCGCCGCCCACGCAGCCAAGCCTGCTGCACGGCCATCTAGAGCTGACCTTCAAGCAGGCTAGTCTCCTGGCGGTGGCAAAGTACTGCCAGCTGGTGCCATATCTAGTGGCGCGCAACGAGATAGTGCTCACTCCGTTGGCTGGGGCGATATTCGCCAAGGAGGATTTACCTGAGTTTGCTAGAGCCTTGCGCGAGCCACTGCCCGATCTGGTGATGGCCATCATCAGCAGCTGCCAAACAGACGGCTACTATCTTCAGCACAGCCGTTGCGACATCGCACTCGCAGCCCTTATCAAGACGGTTAACGATTTGAAGATGCGAGCATCGATCGTCAAGAAGACCATCAAGATGTACAAACTGTATGGCAAGGATTTCGACATGGCCAGGTTTGAAATATGCATCAAGTTTCTGAAGTCCGAAAAAGTGAAGGGCTCGAACTATGACATCGAGCAGATATTCTCAAGTGTAATGTCGATTGACCTGAAGAACAACGTTCAGCCGCCCCCAAATCCTTTGCGTTCCACGGAGAAGCGAAAAATTAAATGCGCTGCGAACTTCAGCGGAAAAACTGATCAAAACCGCAAGAAATGAAACTTTAAACAGTTTTTATTTTTGTACTTGTTTCGTGGGAAATGCTAAAAGAAGACGGATTTCAACATTCGCTGGCTTCTTATGCCCTCAGCTTTAAACTACGTGGTCAATCTTGAAATTGGATAAATCGATTCCAAACCGTTCTGCTTCTGGATTTAATCCGTTACTAAAATATTTCTATATTTAATATATACAGCTATAATCAAAAAAAAACTAAAAAATGAGTCTAATATATATTAAAACTGTATTGTAAACTTTCATAAAATTCAATAAATATATTTTCTTCTTCTTATAATTGCTGATTTATTAAATTCCTTGTTCTGTTTATCTAATTCTTGTCAAGCTAAACTAATTTTTATAGATCAAGAACTGAAAAATGACAGGAAAGAGAAGAATCTACTAAGCGCATCTCAGCACTAAACGTTTACTTCAATATTCGAATTTTGAAATATTTTTCAAAAATGATTTTTCTGTCGATACACCGGAAATAGTGGGACGTAGGTGTACATAATGAATATAAATAAAACTGAGGCAACACATATCCAATTAGTACAAACTTGAATTTACTGATGCCCATACAACTGCACAGACATTTTCGGGGATCTATGAGTTAGAAGTTTGAGCTTTCAGTTTGCTTTATTGTTCGTCATTTTGACTTGGATGGCAGAGCTTATTGTAAGATTTAAGTTGGTTGTTTGCGGTGTTTTCTGGTTAAAGTTTTCCTTTGCGCTTTGTTGCTATGGCGACGACAAAGCCTTACAGAGATTATGCCGTGACTAGACGGGGGGAAGTGGCTCGGGTCAGACCCTTTTGCGGTTTCTGCGTCGCTCGCAAAACTTTGGCACTAAATGTGCCGACGCTGAAAAGCCTTAAAGTTGCGTGGGATATCACAGGAATATCTAAGGCAAAATGCATAGTTGATAAGCGACAAGGGACCAAAATAAAAAAATAAAAATGGGAAACAAGTGCCCTTTTTCTTATGCCTCAGGCATCCAGTGAAAAAGGGAATACAAATTATTAGAAATAATATTTCAGCATTATCATTATTTTAAGAGACTGTTGGCCTAATTAATTTGCAAGTTTAAAAGATTTTTGTTTTATTTTTTAGAATTAATTTAAATTTTACTTCAAAGAAGTGTAAAGCTTTAAAAAATATTTATTAAAATTTTATAAAGTGGAATTTCATTGTACCAATATGACTATATTTAAGTTGTTAGACTCACTTAGACAATAAGCAACGAGCAAACATGTATATAAATATGTTATATAGATATGTTCGAGTTCTTGACTAAGTCCTTCGTTTCATATTTCAAACTTGGCGCCTAAGATCGGTGTCTAATCGAAATCATCAACACAAAAACTAAGAAATGTTTCAGTGTTGGTAAACAAACGCATGAATTGGCAAAATACTTATCGATGCCGATGTATCGAAATGACACGATCAACCCTGGGCATAAATAAGCGGCAAAAGAAGCATCAAAACATATAATCAAAACACAAGTGGATTTATGCGCTAATCTTTATTTGTTATAAATGGAATCCATAAATTTCAATGATTTCTCCGTTAAGGAACGTCACGAGATCATTACGGCGTTTCTCATTAAAATGCGTAAAGCAAATTCGATGCACAGCGCGCACAGTTTCTTTCAATATTATCTCAAACAATTTTACAAGATGCCAACGAAACTGCTCGACGATATAATCTATTGCCAGCGCGCTATGAAAACGTATCTCTCTGTACATCAGGTAATAATTGTTAGCTCCATCTTTGATAGATTAACTGATCGACATATGTTCTCTAATAATTTGCAGACAATCACAAATGTCTTTGCCGCGCAGGCAGATGCCGTAAGTTGCATTTGTTTTTATTATACTATGAACCAACCCACATATATAACTGAGGCTGTAATAATTTTCTGAAAATGTTTCTGAAAGGCTGAAAATGGCATGGCTGACCTCATATATTTTTGATCCACCATGTCCGTCTATCCGTCCGCTTTTTAGTTCTATTCAGGAGTAATAATCGATCACTTAGACCACATATTTATTATCGAAGAATCGATATTGAGAACTACGAAAGTTTGAGGGTATCTACTAGCCGGTCACACCCGAGTATAGTAGTCCTGTTTAATTGCTTACTGGTTTCTTTATTTTTAAGGATCCCGAGATTAAGAACAATTATCTACTCGAGATTGAGGACACTGTGCATCAGATCAATGCCGAATGTCAATATTTGATGATTCGCCTGGAAGAGGACATCGAAGGCTTCTGTTTGCCTTTCACGGAGCAACAACTCCAGCCCAATAGCAATTTGATCAGTGAAATGGTCAGCGAAGCTATTGTACCTTTGGTCTGCACGAACAGCCTTTTGCCCTTTAAGCCGCATTCAGTGGCAGAGCGTCCCACAGAGATCCAATTGCGACGCAAGTACTTCACTATCGATGAAGACAAAAGGAACTCGTTAGGCGCCAAAAATGAAGTCACAAAGCCCACCAAATCGGCCACCAGCAGCAAAAGGAAAACCATTGTGAATGAAGTTGCTCCTGCTGCGGCTGCTGTTATGCCTAAATCGAGCTCCAGAACAGCAACAAAGCCATCGCCACCAGAGGCTGGCAACAAGAGTGATACGGTGAATGTCAGTCGCCTGCAATTGCAGGCAGCTCTGAAGCGAGCGCGTCTTAACAAGCAGGTAAACAGCGAGACTAAAGCGCAAAATCCCAAGGAATCGTTTCTGTACTCCTTTGGCCTTTGCACACAGCTGGAGCATAAGCGTATGCTCTTGGCCCAGGCGCTGAGCCACAAGCGAGTTCGAAAACCCGTACAAAATTAGTTACCTCGAATCTAGAAGTAAATGTAGAGTATAATTATTAAGTTTTAAAAAGTTTATAATGTTACGCAGTTCGATATATTGTACAGCTGAAATGACCCAAGCCATAATGCTTTGTGCTTTAACTAATCGTAGTTAAACTTTGAGATATGTGTTCTTATGTATTCCTATATTAATTTTCTTAATTTATAACTGTCAACCAAGACATAATTATGCTTCAGCTAATCGTAGTTAAGACATGATACATTCTTTTCTTATTTTATAATTGTACATTAATGAATGACAAAAAATAAATCATATTTTGTAAGAATTGTGTACCCTAAACGGAAGGAAAAAGTCTGAGAGAAACAACATTTCATGGCATTATTCAGTGAGAAGGTTTTTACTTGTATAAGACGAACAAAACAACGTGAAAGGACAATGGCGCCTAATAGCCCGTTGATGGTGTTGCCTTAGGTGCCGGAACAGTTGAACGTACGGGCAACTGCGTCTCGCTCATTTATCATTTACACGCCAACGCACGTTGGCGCACAGATGAACAATACCAGATACACGGATACACAGCGAGAGCTTTGGGTTCAGGTTTCCCTTTTTTATTATGGAAAAATGTTGCGCCTATTTACTGTGAATGACAGCATAGACTACGTAATTCTGCAAGAAGTGTGTACCGCGCTGGACTAAAGGACAATTTGATACAGCTTCCTATAACCTATAGCAACTCCAACACCTACAGCAACGCCAGTCTATCCCGACCATTACATTTGCATTGATGTAATCAGCTTGTGGCCGGGTCGTCAAATCGCTTGAAAAAATGCCAAGCAACATTCCGCTGAATTGCGGTGCGGCAGCAGCACAACTGCCACCCACGAGCAACCACCCACTCTACCCTCGTCCCTTTTATATTGCGTTACAAATTGTTTGTTTTCGTTCGCAACCCTTTTAATTTTGTGGCAGGTAAATCCGTATCACGTAAATGGTAATCCAATAAAATAGATTGAGCTGTGTTTTGTTCTACCCAAACAATTTTTACTCACAGATGATAAATTAAAACACAAAATTAAAAAATGTATGATTAAGCAATATGTCAAATATAAAATGTTTATTAAATAAATAATTTATTTGTGTTCTCAATATAATTTTCTAAGTAATTTATACTTTGAGTACCGATAAACGATAACGACACAACAACTTTGCGCGCGCTTCTATCCAGGGATGGGCAAAACCTAAATTCTTGTCTGATATTGAATAACCGAACAGCTGTTCGCAGGACTTGGACGAAGCAACCTCTAAAGTTTTGTGGAGCATCTTATGCAAAACAATGGTTATTCTATATCGCAGCGAACTAATTCGACAAATCTTAAGACGATGCCACCGTGCGGGTATGTATGTAGCAATTACAAGTTGAATGTGGCGAGACTTACAGCATTTGTTGCGTAAATGTAGTTGCGGCAAATAAAAAGAATACCGGCTTAACATGTTTTCATGGAGTCTGGCCGACTGCGGAAAGAAAAGACTTTGAGCAGGACATGCGTATCATACCTGATTTCATAAGCGAAGAAGAGGAGAAACAGCTGCACGAGGAAATTGAGCCATACATGAGCCGGCTGCGCTATGAATTTGATCACTGGGACGATGTGAGTATTGCAAGATTGTCTCATAGCCATCGTCATTAGTGTAATTAAATCTTGTGCAGGCGATTCATGGCTTTCGGGAAACTGAGCGCAAGAAATGGTATCCAAAAAACCGCGAACTTCTGGAACGTGTACGTGAAGTGGCATTCAACGGCGCTATTATGCCCTATGTGCACATTTTGGATTTAGCCGCCGATGGCGTCATCAAGCCACATGTGGACAGCATCCGGGTGAGTCTATCGAACTGTCGGCATAACTGTATTTTCAATACTTTTATATATCGTTCTCAGTACTGCGGCAATACCATTTCCGGCATAAGTTTACTCAGCGACAGCGTCATGCGTCTTGTTCGCACAGATGCCCAAAAGTATAAGCAGAACAGTTCGAGTGATAACACCGAAGATACCGCGTACCGTCAGCAGCCGGCGGCGTTGCTTGAGAACAACTTCTATGCGGATCTCCTATTGCCTCGTCGTTCGCTCTACATAATGAGACATACGGCACGCTATAATTTCACGCACGAAATCCTCGCCAACGAGCATTCCAAGTTTCTTGGCAATCCCATTCAGAAAACACGTCGTATTTCCATCATTTGCCGCAATGAACCCTAAGCATCCCATTAAATACCTGTTAAGTTTATTTTGTTGATCTTACAAAAATGTATACAAATATGTTAAGAACTGTTTCCTTAAATATACAATTGTTTATACAAGTTTTTCGAAGCTGTGAAATTTCTTTATTTATAATTTGCATGTGGGCTGGCAGTGGTCCGGAGCTTCTTATTGATGTAGATAAATTTTCTCAAGGAATTTATTGAATTCTTTTGTCAACAAATTCTCTGTGTCAATGTTTTCTGCGCCTTGGTATTATGTGATAAGGAGACATGACGATTTGCAAATGATGCCATTCATTTCGCAGATAACTCAGCGGTGGGTTCCCTCCGGCTATGACCATCATTCATGATTTCTATATGCTGCATGCTGACAGGCGAGGAAAACTCTCTGTGCCCATTTCTCAACTCTTATTTAAGGCCGAAAAGCTCGCGCGTCTCGCTCTCTTGCGCTGTTACTTTGCAGATGCCATCCACATAACTGTTAATTGAACTGCGAGGCTTAACGGATTAACAGACTTACAGCCAAATTAGCCATGAAATTAACCTTTTTCTGTACCTTATAATATGTATAAAAAATAATAATAAAATAAAAAAATAATAAAAAATAAATTTAATAAAAATTGAAGAAAATACTAAAAAGTATTTTAATTTCAAATCAGGTTAAATTATATAATTATAGATTAGTTATTCGGAAAACAAGTTGTCAGTATTTAATTTTTTGATATTTTAACATAATAGATTTTTTTTTAGGTTTTTTTTGTAAATATTTAAAAAAAAATTTAATTACTAAAATATCTGTATGTTCACATGCCGTAAGAGAGGCATATCTCAAAAACTAAGTTATGTCAAAATCGCGAATGATTGCAATCTGATTGCTCTACATTATTATACTTAGATTTTAAATTAGAATCGATAGAAGTACGTGAACACTGTCTGGTAAAGCGAAAAAAAATATTTGTCTTCCGCTCTAATTAGCTCTACGTTTATCAGCCTTAAACGGAAAATAGCTTTTTAAATATTCAAGGTTTGAGAGTTAAAAACTAATTTGCTTTTAGACCTGACAGTGATACACTAATACTGATAAAGTCTGTATTGTTATATTATCAACAAACAATATACAACTAAAATTACTAATTAAAATAACTGTGTTTTAAACTTGAAATGTATTTTCTTGTTAAGATTTGATGGAACTACTTTAGCTGCACTTTGAATAGAAGAAATCGTATTTTAAATAATTATCTGACTTTTTATAACTAAATAAGTTTGCCTTGAAAATAATTTAAAATTCAGGCGAGAATGAATCAGGCCTTGTCGAGTTGAGTCGAGTGTGAAGTCTACTCAAGCCATTGTACAAGTCTGATATAATATAATGACTTAGATCTTTTAATAAGATTAAAAATATCGCTTTGATGGATGAAAGGCACTGGAGACCCGGACGCTGAATAGATCCAGTGACTTGTTGTCCAAGACTGAGCTGGTGGCTGACATCGTCAACCGGCTGCAGGTGAGTCTGTAAAAAGGCCATCAACATTTACTGCCAGTCGAATGCGAGCTGCAAAGTCGCCCCGAACCCCCAATTTGGGCCAACCCCAAATCAAATGGCAGCTGAAAACTTTGTACAAATTATAAACATTTAAACAGTTTGCAACTGCGGCGACATTCTCAAGTGGAACCCAACAAAAAATAGAAATAAAAATAAAAATAAAATAAAAAGGGACAAAATATTGTCTAACTTTTGTTCGGGTCTCCTTTATTTCGGCAATTCGACTGTTATTATTATTTGCATGGCCAGCCGCACTCCCATTCAAGCCATCCACTCATAACAATCTCAGTTACCCATTGTGAACTCGCAAAGTTGCACATTTCAGATTTCAGATTTCACATTTTTCTCTTTTCCACTCCTTTTCTGCTCTTGACCATAGAGTTTTTTCTTTTCTGCGACAGTTTAGTTTGTTGGGATCAAAAGCCGCAACGAATGGCAAGGAAATGGCTTAATGGCGCAACGACAAGTTGGCTAAAAGAACTTTTGAACTTCAATGCAAATGTGCTTAGACCCTGGACTGCACTTCAATCTGATTTATTCCTTGGACTTATGGGCTTATGGGGTAATATTTATTATTATTATTCTTATTATTCTTATTATTCTTATTATTCTCATTATTATTTTAGATTTATTATTATTTATTTATTATTTTAGACTTCTGTGTTCCCAAAATCGATCTAATCTTTGTTTTTTTTCACACGTTAACAAAATTATGTGCAAAGAATTGAAAACAGCATTTGAATTTTGAACTCGTGTCTCCCAATGCCAAAATTAAAATTTAATATACTATACACAAACACTTTTATATAGATTTGTTCATGTGAGTTTGGAACGTTTGGATTATCATTAATAACTATATCCTCTTTTACAAAAAATACACGCAGGTTAGCTTAGGGTAGGAAGAGATTTAATACATTTTTATGTCAAGTCTCGATGCAGCGTATCTACATCCGGAACACTAAGAATAATATTCATTAATTAATTACAATTTAATCATAATATTTATATGAATTTAAAAGTAATAATCATTTTTGTTAAATATTTTGAATATTGTATAGTAATAATCATTCTTGTAAGAGCAGCATTTGAAGTTGGGCTCATTAGAGCGGGAATGTCGGACTCCCTGTGCCCAATCTCTCTGTGCTAGCTCTCTCCACGCTTGCTCTCTGCATGCTGGCTCTCTCCATGCTCTCATTTGTTCTCGCTCTCTGTGTGCTCGTTCTCCCTATACCCGCTCTCCATGTGCTTGCTCTCTCCATAATCAGTCTCTCCAAGCTCGCTCTCCCTGTTGTCGCTCTCCCTGTGCTCGTTCTCCCTGTGTTCGCAATCCCTGTACTCGCTCTCCTTATGCTCACTCTCCCTATGCTCACTCTCCTAAACGCGCCCTCCCTTTGCTCGATCTCCTGTGCTCGATTTCCGTGTGCTCACTCTCCCTATCTTTCAAATATATTCAAATGTTCAAATTTACTGCTTGTTTTCTCCTTTGCCCAAACTTTGAACGTATAATAGTACACCTTTGCTTTGCCGAATAAACACTCCTTGAATAATTATTGCACTCTGAAGAGTTCAATAACTGATAAATAAATGGGCCAAGGTGAGCGCAAAATTCCAGGTATCTACTAGTTGGGTACTTCCGACCAGGGCGCTCTGGCTTGTTATCCCATTATATGATAGAATATAAAAATTTAAATGCAACCTGAAAGAATATTATAAAAGTTTATACATTTCCCCCCCAAAAAAAACGGCAAATAAAGAAAAACTCAATCAGAATTTGTTGAAATGTTTCTGTTTTGATTTATTAAGCTGCACACAAATAGTTAGTTCACGCATGTTTCAAGCATTCATTAGAAGCGTGCATTCGTTTTGATTCGTTATTTATTATTGGGCTGGGAGAATTTTGTAAAGATTCAACTGAAATCGTTAGCAAACATTTATATAAGAGTACATATAGCATTAGCTAAGTAAATTTATGTAGTCTGTTCCGATTCGGTCTCGAGAGAAAAGTCTATTACAATTGCAATTTGTGAGTCGAAAACGAGATTTCTCTGCCGATTACGTGCGAAATTATTGTGAATCTCGAAAGTACGTACATTGGACAGATATATGTAAAAAAATATATAGTATGTGTATATATATTCAGATATTTGTATATAGGATACTTTAAATGAAACAAGCAAAGTATTAAAAGTGACATCAGCTTCTAGAAAATGTCATACCAAAATTAATTGTTTGCTTGAGTTGGCATATTTGTAATTTGTAATTTGTAATGAATATTTTAAAGCACCCGAAAAATTGAATTCGATATTTGAATGGAATATGCCACTATATAACTAACAATATATGTATGTCTTCATTTTCGTTTTCGTTTTCGCAACAGGAACCAAAGTATCAATATTTAATCTTCTCACTTTTAAACTCTATCATAAATTTGGCATTCTTTCCAATTGTTTTTACTGTATAATTACAATTTTATCATTATTATTATTATTATTATTAATTTTTTTGTTTCTTTCGTTTTATGTAAAAAATTATTTTGTTTTCAATTTAGTTGACTAATCAGCAAAAAATTTTTCATTTAATACTAAACACACATTAGTCGTTATTCGCTCTCTTCATTGTTCATGCAAAAATTATTAACAAATCACAGTAAAAAGCAACAATGCTAAATATGGTCGTAATGCATTTTGGGTTTTCTCGGTTACGCTATGAAATTTATCTAATACGTATTAATATTTAATTTATGGCATCTGCAATACAATGTAACTGTAGCTAAAATTACAGTTAAATAGTCGAAAAGGCAAATAACAATTGTGGAAAATATTCGAAATTGATGATTTGTTCCTTCGCAGATGGACAACGAAATGGTTTCTTGAGATTCAAGCGTGTGTAATTAAAAATATAAAGTTTATCAGCAATGTTAGTGGAATGTGATAATTCAAGATAGTTGCCAATAGTTCACATACAGGATAACACTTAGCATAAATACTTAGAAATGTATAGAAAATAACAAAATTAAATACAATTGCAAATAGTTGTGTATAAAGAAACGCGCACAGTAGCGTATTGCACAACTATTCTTACAATGTTGGTTCTCTTATGTCTATTATATGTATTATTAACACAATGAAACAGTGGAAGGGGCACTTGGAGGAAATATTTTGGGATGCTGGGTATAATGGAGAAACGTGCTTTGCAAGTTTACAAGGAATATTCATTTTCGTTCTGGATTTATAAATATGGCTGTTCGAATCTCGATTTACTTATTGTTCATATCGTTTTAAGACATTTATAGATTTTACATATTGTGTATTCAATTCGCTTACATTTATGTAGACTTTCAGTATTTTATCGTGGGCGTATTTAAACACTGTACCGGTTACAAATTGGTTCACACGTGACAGATATTAGCAAAAATAATGTTTGATTCATTCTGAATTTTATTTGATTTTTTTTTTCATTTTCTGTTTGTATTTTTTTCAGTTTTAGAAAAGTTTATGCTCTGCCGCATAATGAAATTCAATTCCAAAACAATTGAGGCAATTGTACAATTGTTTAACGAACCAGACACACGTGTAAACTCGGTTTTACAATTATAAATAGTTACAGTTAAATGTTATAATTATACCTGGAGGTTAGTTATTTACACATTTAGAGGATAGGCTTTAAAAGTAGCGCTCAAAAAATATACACACATATACACAGACAGACAAATAGATGTACAAATTAGGAAAACATCAATGTTTGGGTATATCGCCACTACAATTATTCAGCTGCTGCTGGTGCCGATGGCGATGCAGCAATCAGCTGACAGCGATATAGCGCGGCTTGGCAGCATTCGCTTCCAAGTGGCTGGCATTGTTGTCCATTTGTTGCAGCTCGATTTCGCTAAGCAGCGCCCAGTTCTCGCTGTCGCTGTGTACGTGGAGACGTATCTCCTTGATGGCCCCAATCTTCGGATCGAGCAGTCCCTCGGCCACGCCTAAGCCATCGAATGCGCCCACCACAAGGTAGCCATCCGTTGTTGTATTGTACGTACTCCAAACGGACGAGTTCTCGCTCAAGCTATCAGCGGGCAGCAGCTCCACGGTAGTGTTGTAGAAACGATCGGACGGGTGCTCCGAGTTACCGCTGCGGAATAAATAGCGACGCAGCAGCGTTGGCTGCTCAAAGATGAATTGCACCAAGTCGCCGGGCTGCGGCAAAAGACCCCAAAAATATGTTTCGCCACGATAGGCTCGCTTTAGTAAATAGTTTTTGTACGGCGCTATATTCGACTTGACCAGCGCGGGCGGATTGTGCGTGTGTGCATAGTAGGATGGAACCTTGCTACCGAACTGTTTGTCCTTTAGCTTTTGTACTTTGCCCTTGAGCGAGGAGCTGGTCCCAATGTGCTGGAAAAGCGATTTGCGAAAGTGCTGCCAATACCTTGCCTTTTCCAGATTACAATGCTTCTGATCCTTGTCCGTGCGACATACTTTCGACTCAATGAAATAGGTAAGCAGCCAGTCAACTGGCTTATCATTGTAGAACATTTGAAAGTATGTTATAAGATATGGCAGCTCAGCACTCTTAAACATTTTGCCAATAAAGCCAAGCTGACAAAAGTCCAAAACAAACCAGGCTGGCTGATCGGGCTTGGTTAGAGCGCTCTTGATAAGTGCAAACTTCTTCATTGTGGTTATAAATTGTCGCTTTGTTAATATATCATCCTCCAGTTGCACATAGAAAGTGCCTTTCGAATGCGCATAGGCCATCAGATAGGCAAAATCCAAATTCTGTTTGCTACGCCATTTCACACGCTCCAAGGAATCGTTAAGTGTGATGCGCAGGCGCTCAAAATTTGGATAGTAGCTGGGCGCTGGCGCTATAATATCTATGAGTCCACTCTCCACATGTGTTTCGAAGCTGGTCTCAATTTGCTTGGCTATAAGCTGGACTGCATCGAAATCTGTTTCGCCAATATAGACAATTATCAGGGTCTCGTTTTGCTCCTCATCATTCATGTTCTCAATTAGGTTGTGCAGCGTGGCAAGCAGATACGATTGCTTGTCACGTCGCACTGTTGGCACGCCGAGCACAATGCTAACATCCGACCGGCCTTTGCTCTGAAAATACGCTGGGCGCAAGGAGCCAGCATCGTCCAGTAGATGTGGCAGAAAGTGATAAGCGTTCGGTAAGCGTATATTTTGTGCGGACACATAGCCACGCGTAAATCCTGAGCCTCCTGATCGAGACACATGGGATGCATTGCGCAGCAATTGACGTGCCTCCGGACTAAGCGCATCCAGCAAGTTCGGCACAGGCTGTGGCGGCGGACTTACATTGGTCACATTGCTGCCATTGTTGTACTGAAGCTGGCCCAAGTACTGTGAGAGCAGCGAGACATCCTCCTGCCGAGCACGATACATAGACTCCAGATACTGCAGTCGCATATGGCACTCGGCCAGACGTTGCGTCAGCGACGTTTCGGTGGATAGTTCTGGTCCCAATACCATCAATATCACAATGCAGGGCACCAATATAAGCACCGTGGCAATCAGCATGCAATTACGTTGTCGAATCTTAAACATATTTACGTTCGCTCGTTGAACAAGTCTTCTATCATTTAACGTCGTTTAGACTGTGTAAACAAAAAAGAGAACATCAAGTTATATGGAATACAATCTAGGGTTTTTATAGATAACTTGTCTTACATACCAGCATTCATCATTCATTTGTTCAACGTAGCACTTCTGATCCACTACATTCTCTGCAATCAAAAACAAAACTTCATTAAGGAGTGGTAATAAATTAGATACAATTGATATCATTGCGAAAGCTGATAAGGAACATAAGAAGGCACTTTTCGATGTTTTTGTTTGCAAATCTGAATACATAAACAAAGCTTATAGTTATAGTGGTTAATTCAACAATTTAACTCTATTTGCACTTACCAATTCGCTCGAGTTTCAGTTCAGTTTGTTGTGCAATTCGTAGCCACATCGCTGCCCCAAGTGAACTGTTGGCTGCCGTCTTACTAGTCCACATTTTCGTTTCACGGTTTTGTGACTAATGCAAGCGGCTATAAGTGGGTGGTGCACCCCATACAAGCTAGTTTGGGGCTATAGCAAATGTTGAAACGTTTAACAAGTCTGCCAGGTCTTGATACTGCTGTTGGCTTACCCTTAACCGTGAACGTCGTTGTTAACGTTTTTTATGGTGCAGCTGTCGTTATTCTCGCCGCACGACCTGCAAAAACAATAAATTATATAATATACTGCCGCATCTATTAGTGTATATTGTGTGTGCAAAAATTTTCTATTTACATGGCCAAGCGCCAAGTGCTTTATATTTGTTTCTATTGTTATTTCGTCGTTCGATCGTCGGTGGGTTGTTCACCAGCGCTAACGCAAGAAAAGAGACAGGAAAACAAAAACAAAACCCGAACAGAATGTGTTAGTAAATAAGCTAATACTTGTTAATGAGCTAAAACGCTTTTTGAGCACAGCTGAAAAGATATCCGACATATACATTGTTGCTGATAATGTGCCAAACACGGAAATCGAGAATTTACCGCAACATTTTCTATAGGGAGTCTATTAATGTAAATTTAATTATTAGTAAAGTTCATAAACAGTTTTATGGATTAAATGAAATTTCATTTTAATTAACTACGCAAAAACAAATATAAATCTTTAATACTAATATAGGAATACATTTTACAAACAATATTAACCTAAGAGAACTAAGAGTGAGAGTAAGTTACTCTGAGAAAATTAAACTTTTCCATTATTATTTTTTCTTTTTATAAGCCCTAACTACAAGTTAAAAATAAATGTTAACCTACTTTTCATTTCATTTAGTTTTATTTCCCAAGATACAAATGCATTACTTATTTCCCTCAGGTATATACATACGTATATCTCTATAATACTATGGAGAGAATGGGTTCGTAAGCAATAAGCTAATTAAATAATTTTAAAATGAATGCCTTTAATGTTATATGTAATATATAAGCAGATCAAACGCAGATCCTAAGATAAGAGATTCCTAGTATTAGTTCATTCAACTTCCGACTATTAATTCATTCTGTTTTAAGTGTGAATAGTTACGAAATTTCAAGCCTAGATTACATTAATGATTTCTTAGCCTTTTTTATGCATTTCGAATAATTACGTGGAAACCCGAAAAGATATAACGGGTCTATCTATCTACTATTAGGCTCTATTACAACTAATTTGAATCCATCGCGTGGGTGGGAGGGCACGTGTGAGTATTAACAGTTATGACATAGTTGATAAGTAAACAACAACAACAGTCAACATTAATAAATAAACAACATTAGTAAAGGTGCTCCCATAGGGAATCAATCACACACGCACACACACACACTCACACACTCACACACTCACACACTCACGCACATAGAAGCCGTCACAAACAAATTTCGAGCCATACCTCGCTCTGCCCTTTGCTCTGTTACTCACTGCACGTAATGTTTAGTTAATTGCTGCTCCAAGAATAACGCACAATCAGTGCGCAATTTACGCAATTTGTGTGTAACGACACGCCAACTGTGCTAATAGGAATTGATTCAGTGAAGAAACAAAACGCAAATGTTCAATTTGTCGGTTTTGTGGGTGGTGTCTTCGTCGTATTGCTAAATTTATGCCATACGCTTTGCAGATTCGCATACACTGGCCTAACAAATGGCTACATTTTTGTTGCAATAGTTTAGTTGATTATGTACATATGCTTTCGTAATAATTGCAACACTCGCGTTATTATATGCATAAGTTGATGAAATTAACAAAACGCTTCTGAGATAATAACAACAATAAAACTGGCATTCAATTTCACAGTGTTAGCAAGTGCAACAAAACTTAGGGAGCAGTGTTGGTTACGAAATTATGAACTAGTACCGCAGGAACAGCCGATAAGCGCTCTATGTTATTGTTGTGTCAGAGACAGTTCTCTGAAACCAGTAAACAGCTGTTAAATTCAAATGTATATTAACACACTTAATATTATAGTTAAATTTGTCTTCTTAAAAAAATGAATCTGTTAAAAAATTAAATTCAGCTTACTAAGTCGATAATAAAAACAATATATTAATTACTTTCTGAACAACAATCGTTTATAGTTCCAGAGCGCAAGTTCATGCTGTTAATAGCAGTTCTGTAGCATGTTAAAGTTGTCAAAAATACACGATTTTTGTTCTTAAAAACAGAAAAATTAAAACAAAATGTATTTAACTTTGTTAAATGGCACCGGCTATGTTTTTGATGTGGACGGTGAGCTAAGTGCAGTGTAAACGAAACAATAATAATTTACATTATAACAGATTACATGGAACTACGCATGAAATACCGCATAATGGGAGCTCTCGTGGGCACGGCCAACAGCAAAGGTTGGAGCTCGAGTGAAGCAGGTAGGAATAGCAATCTGGTAATCGAAATCCATAGTTATGACATTTATAATATTTCAGCTCTTCCCTTGGAGCTGACGAAATGCGAGACACAGTTGCTCATAGATGAGGGCTTGGCCATTCTGGTTAGCAAGACCGCCTCCTTAACAAAGTCTCCATCTTTAGATATATTACAGAATAATCAACAAGAGCTCACGTCACGTTTAGAAGCACAGGCCGATGTTCTGAAGGCGGAAAAAATGCGCGAAACCGAACGTCATGTGGACAAAATCCTAAGCGGCAAACGCAACAAGTTGGTAAAGCAAGGGAAAGCTGACGAAGGTTAGCATCAGGATTCTTATTGAGATAATTATAAAATTAAATGCCTTCTCTAACAGCTGCTGCACTTACGTCAGAAAATGTGATTCAAGAAGTCGCAAATAATTTTGAATTCGACCTTCAAAATGCGCTCGTGGAACTGCCTTGTCCGCATATGACAAATCACGGTGGGTGAAAAAAGATTTATATCCCAACTATAACTACATGTGGATTTATCCTTTTAAAAGATGGTCGACTGTGGACTGATCCGATTTGCGACCGTAACTCGCTGAAATATCGGGTCTTTCGTGATCTTTGGGGCCGTGGCAAGTTCGTCACTTGTGGCGATGCCTTTGGCGCCGACTTCTTGATATATCCCGGGGATCCGCTGCTCTATCACGCCTCCCACATTGTCATCATACAATCAACACCCGCGATACGTCCCTTGGAGCTGATTGCTAAGGTCCGATTGTCAGTCACTGTCAACAAGAGCTGTGTATTTGCCTATGAAGAAACTGATGGAAATATTATCGTTTACCAAACAGTTGCCTGGTGCAATCCTAGCAAATAATTGAAAGAAAGAGTACCGGTGAGTAAGACATAGCCAAGGAATAATTGAATATTCATCACATTGCTTAGTTCATATAAGTTATAGTTAAATTGATCACAAATTTAGACTACTGTACTTAGAGTGTACTAAAATTACAAAATATCGTACTATGTTTTAACAATGGTACAATGTACCATATTGGTACAGAATGGTACTCTTCTCCTTCTAAAAAAAGAAGAGAATTTGAACCGATATAAGGGCATTCAAATCTAATAATATGTAGCAAACAACTTTTCCTTGTATAAAACTGACGATTTTTAATTTGTTTGGTTCGGTTTTATGTACTTTTTAATACAACAAATTTTAATAATTTTTACTATCAATTGGCGCCAAGGTTGTTGTAACGTTGCAAGAATTTCAATTTGTGGAATTAAATACAATAACAGAGAGTTGCGTGAATTTGGACTCTTCCGTCTCTCCAAATGCCTCAGTGAGTGCTTTGTCCGTGTGTGTGTGTCTGTCTCTGAGTGCGCACTCACACTCACACATATGCACAAAGAATAGTATTGTGGGAAAGCAAAATAATGAAGCAAAAAAGTCTTGGATAGTATTTGGTCTGCTTTTGAAAATTTCTTGGAGTACGCGCGCCCGACGCTAGCCTCTCCTCTCAACTGTGGCAAACCTCTCCGTATTGTATCTCGGCAGTTGCAGCCGCAGAAAAGAACAAAGCAGAGCGGGAGAGGGAATCTGCTGCCGCTGACGCCGCCGCCACTCTGCAGCAGTCACAGGTTAAATTTGTATGGCAAAATGAGTTTATTATTGCGACGACATTCAAAACGTGGAGATGCTTTGTTGCGTTGCGGAAAAGTAATACAAAATCAAACAAAATATATAATTATGTGAATATTGATTACAAAATGACGCTATTTTGCTATTGCTAAGCTGAATGCAGACGAAATTCAAATGTGTTAAAAGGCAAACAAATATTTGACACACGCATACATATGTACATATATACATATATGTATGTGTGGACATAATTATTTATACGCATTCTAATACATGTGGAAATGAACGTGCAAATATATGTATATACGATTGTATATATATATGTATGTCATATCTATTTGTCTATGCGCTTTAAACAAATTTTAGCATGTTTTCGTTTTCGTTTTCGTTTTTTAAATAGACTTCGACAACTGAAACAAGAACAAAAACAATGATAATATTGCCAACGGGGTGCGCTGTGGCAGAGAGGAAATCGCTGCGAGGCCAAGCAATGTCGCGCCGTTCGAATTTCAGACAATCAGGCAGCTAGCAGTTCGCACAGTGGTACAAGAATGATTGCATTGCAATCATTGCAGCTCTGTTCATAAACCAGTGCAGTTTTTTTGGCATTGCGGCCTACTGTGCGCTGTTGCTCCCCATGCTTCTCTCCACACCACAGCCCACACAATGACTCTCGCTCAGCATTACCAGGTTCAAAATACGCTCAGTGCTTTAATGCTGATTGGACTTTTAAAGCGACGTTAACATTTGTCGGGTCCAGCTGAAGCGGCAGCAGCATCAAAATCAAAACAGAGAAAATTTGTAATCTTGCGTCGTATTTTTTTCGGCTCAACTCACATGCTGCTCACTAAATTACTACTTCTCAGAGTATTGGACGCACCATGGATAGAACTCTCCCTGGTATTTTACTCTCCCCGCTGACAGCGAGTCCAAAACAACACGTTGCTCGTTTCTGCTCTTAAGCGGGACTTGATCTGCATAAAAATAGGGTCGAGCTGTCTTTGGGAGTATGTCACAAAAACAGGTGATTGCCTGAAATTGGTGCTCAAAGAGTATGTTCGTATTCGTAAGAGCGAACCGGCTTTCAGGATCTTTTGACTCTGGAATGTATAGTTATTAATCAGTATTTTTGTATTAATATCGGTGGCATTTGGTTAAACTTTATATTTTTTTATAATTTTTTGTTTACAAAAAAATATTAATAAATTTATATTTGGAATATTACATTTTATTTTTATTTTTTGAACTGAAATGCTCTTTCATTGGTATTTCACTTAAATTTATTTACATCTGGTAACGCTGCTAGCCAACTGTACTTTCAAGAGCGCGCACTGCCAGCCATCTCTCTCACTCTCATGTGCTCACCGCAGCAACAGTGTCACCCACACAGAGACATTCGAGCACACACATAGATACATTCATTCTCATAGACATATACAAACACATGCATACGTAAAACCACCACCAAAAAGCGGTTCAGCGCGCATGATCAGAAATTTTCTCCGTATAGAGACTAAAACTCGTCATACAACACGACCGCGCCGCGCTGGCAGAACGTAATTCGATCGAATACTCAGTCTCAGTTCGAGTTATTCAACGCTGGCGAGCAGCAGCAGCAAAAAAGAAAATCAAGAGCCAGAGCTACCAGCCGTGAGCGGCGGTCAAGAAGGGAAAGCAAACCGAGTATAAAATAGCAGCAAGCAGATTTTTCTTTGCGCTCCGGTGAGAAGATAATTTCAACATGCATAAAATTGCTCGCTCCGGGAGCGACGGCGTGTAAACAAACAGAATAACAACACAAAAGTGAATGAAATTGTAGTTATAAAACAAATGCAGAGGCAAAAGCAAAATGCGTGGCGTTAACTGTACAAAGACCAAAAAAGAAGGAAAAAAGGAGAATCATAAGCAAAATATGAATATTCCTGGGCGTGTCTAAATAATGCTTGTGTGATAATGGCGCGCTTTTTTTAACTTGTTTTATTCTATGAACAAATTTAAAATGTTGCCTGTTCGTGTTAGTTGTGTGTTTTTTTCCCAAGTCTAAAGTCATGCAGTTCCATACGTTCGTTCGTTCATCGGTCTGTGGGGGGCGGGCAGGCGGCCCACATTTCATATACGAGCTGTAAAACTTGCTCTCTGGTTGTCTCGCTCTCGCGTGCTCACCATACTTGGAAGAGGGAGTGAAGGGTGCGCATGGAGCTCATGCGCCAGTGAGTCCCTTACCCCACCGCAGCACACACACACACTTAATAACATTGTATATGAAAACTTTTTCTCGCGAGAGAGCGAGAGCACATGAGTTATATGTTGTTTGTCTTCCATCTGCTTATGCTCTTTACTCTTTTTTTTAGGGGGCAACGATAAGCAGCAGCGCGCCATTCAGTCGTTGTGAAAGCTCGTGAACGTGGAGTAGTGGAGCAGCAGCAGCATCACCTATTTGACGCTGCTATTTAGATGAAATTTCTTGTTAGAACGTTGCAAGAATAACAGCCTCGTCGTGTTAGCCACAAACAGCAATCAATACAACTACAACGCTGGAGAACAACTGTTGGATTTGGACACGACAGCCCTAATGTCGTTGCCAATGAATTCGCTGTACTCGCTCACCTGGGGTGATTATGGAACATCTCTGGTATCGGCCATACAGTTGTTGCGCTGCCATGGCGACCTGGTCGATTGCACATTGGCAGCCGGCGGACGCAGTTTTCCGGCCCACAAAATCGTGCTATGTGCGGCTTCTCCATTTCTGTTGGACCTGCTAAAGGTGAGTACGCGGCGAGAGCTTTTCTAAACATAACCTCAACAACAACGTTTCGTTGGCATGTGTTTTTGCGCGTACAGTTTGTAAACAGAGAAATCAACATCGTCGTCCGACTTGCCAAATAGGTTATTATGTGTTTGTGCGTGCGTGTGAGTGTGTATGTGTGTTTGTGGAGCAGTTTTGACTCCCCAACACAATGTGAATGTAAGCTATATCAGCATTTGAGTGCAAGTGTATCTGTATGTGTATGTGCCAGCTAAGAAATGTGCATTCGCGCTCTGCTCCTGGCTTAAACACAGTTGGCGCTCTGGGCCATTGCTCAGGAGCAGCATGAGATAGCGGTGCGTCTCCTACTTTCTCGTCATTTTAGTTAGCCAGAGATTTCCGTGTAAGTTTTCTATTGTCAATTGAGTAGAATGAGTTGCGCACTCTTTTGCGCTAACGCTGACGTTGTCATATTGTCTCCCTTGCCCCTGTACCTCGTCTCGTCTTGGTTATCAGCTTGTTTGCTATACAAATGTATAAGCTTTCATGAGTACCAAAGAGCGAGAGAGTGCGAGAGCAAGCATGTATGAGTGAAGAGGAGCAAAAGTTGCGCCAACTTTTAATTCAAGTGTGTTAGAGCGAGCGCAAACGAGAGCGCCAAATGACGGGGCAGCCTGACTGGCTCTTGCTGCTATGTTTGTTGTTGCTGCTGCTGCTGTTGTTGGGTGCACACGAGCGCGACCTCTTTTTGCTTATGCGAGCAAGTGTGTGTGTGTAAATGTACAGTTGATATTGACTATTGGAATACAATATAAAAGAAAAGTTAATTAATAGAATAAAACTAATAAATATGGCATTTTAGCGAGTAAAATTCATAAACAATATATATGAGTTCATGCGTACTTCTGAGCATATTGATTACGTATTTACGTATCGCATTTCGTTTGTCATATCTAAGCTCCACTGTACACTGTAGCACAGCGCATATCAGAATTATACATATGCATATCACATGTATATATGTACGTAAATACTTTTTGAATACATAGGGACATGTGGTTATATACTCATGTGCCTTTTGATTTGGATTTATTTCTGTTGTTACACTTTAACATTTTTCATTCCGTGTGCTGTACTGTACTTATTTGAGTGCTGTATTTTACAATGCTGGAATTAATATATTTTATTTGTATTTTTTTGTTTTTATTTTTTCATTTTATTTGATTTCTCCCATACTGTAATATTTGTAATATACATGTAAGAAATTACACTGGAGATCAGCACCAATCAGATATACATTCATTGTTATTGTCTCTGCGTCCACATGTCAAATGACCAAAACAGAGAGGAGAGTGTAGAACACCTGACGCCTAGCATCGGCTTTATGCTCGCTCCCCCGTTCAAAAAGTAAACAGAGCGTAATTTTTAAAAACGTCGCTCAGAGTCGGTCGCGGGAAATGTCAAAAATTGGTTTTATATGTGAACTCTGCAAGAGTCGCAGCCATAAGATGTACTCGTACATTTAGTGATCTCGTTACACTCACACACACTCGCGAAACACGTAGACAATGCTCTTTGTCGCTCCCGCTCCCTCACAAAGTGCAACCAGTGAAAAACAACCACTCTGAAAAAATCGATGAGCGTCAGCAATGGCGAGTGCGACGTCAGCAGCAGCAGCAGCGGGCAGAATTAGGTAGGCCGACAGAAGGGAGTGTAGAGTTCAAAGAGCGTGTGGTACGCGGCCTTTCTGCGGGTTTGAGTGCGACGGAGCACGGCAAGCGCTGGATGACGTTTAAAGAGATTGGGTGAGAGGCGCTGCCAGCGTCACGCGGTGGTAAGCTGTCGCTCACCGCTTAAAGCGGGCCTCTGAAAGACGCAGACTTTTTGCTGCTTGCCTGCCTGCCTGACTGACTGCCTACTAATTAAATCCATGCCATGTGAGTGTGTGAGCGAACGAATGAGCGAGTGAGCGAGCGGGGTACTCTTACTTGAGCAGCGCGGTGTAGTGTATATGGGCTCTGGCAGCATCTCCAATCCTGCTGCAGAAATGCAGAGCGCGCACAGCGAAAAGCCGGTTTATTGTGATGAGAGTATGCCTCCGACTCTGTGTGTGCGTGTGCGTGTACAAATACATGTTTCTGTTGAGTTTCGTTTATGTGTATTTGAGCGTGTGTGTATGTGAGTTGGTCGACAATTTATCCGTTTGTTTTGATGGTCTCAGTTGACGGCCAATTCTTTTGTCTCTGTTTTGAACTAAGCAGCAGCAGCAGCACTTATGAGCGAGCGCGCATGTTGCTCAGCCGGCAAATAAATTTGGAGCGCCAAACACAAAGTTATTTTGGTAGAGCGTCTATTTAGTATCTAATAATTCCTAATAATAATTGACTATTTATACATAAGTAAACATATTTAAAATATAAATGTGTCAAATCTTAAATTATGTTATAATATAGTATCATTTTTAATTAGTACACACCATTTTTCGTGCAAAGCTTCAATTATTATATTTACTATTTTTTTTTCAAACATTAATTTATATATTTATATAAATGTATTATTAAATTATAACATTTGCTTACATGTACGTACAGAACACGCCATGCAAACATCCAGTTGTGATGTTGGCTGGCGTCAATGCGAACGATTTGGAGGCTTTGCTGGAGTTCGTCTATCGAGGCGAAGTGAGCGTCGATCATGGGCAGCTGCCGTCGCTGTTGCAAGCGGCGCAGTGCCTCAATATTCAGGGTCTGGCACCGCAAACCGTGACCAAGGATGACTATACAACGCACTCGATACAACTGCAGCATATGATACCACAGCACCACGACCAGGACCAATTGATAGCAACCATTGCCACGGCACCGCAACAAACTGTGCACGCACAGGTTGTCGAGGATATTCATCACCAGGGCCAGATATTGCAAGCGACCACACAGACCAATGCCGCCGGACACCAGCAAACGATTGTGACAGCCGATACTTCCAAACACGATCAGGCCGTTATTCAGAGCTTCTTGCCTGCGCGCAAGCGTAAGCCGCGTGTTAAGAAAATGTCACGTAAGCATCAAAGATTGATTTCTAATATGGTGAGGTGGTTTATATATTTAAAAAACACTTTTATGGTCCTACAGCAACTGCACCGAAAATAACCAAAATTGAAGGAATGGGTACGATTATGGACACGCCGACAACGTCTCACTTAACCGCACAACAGCAGCAAGTTGTTCAGCAACAGCAAGTCCTGGATGAAAATGGCGCTGAAACGCAATTGTTGACCAGCACACCGATCATCAAGAGTGAAGGACAAAAGGTTGAAACTATTGTAACCATGGACCCCAACAATATGATACCCGTGACATCGGCCAATGCGGCAACTGGTGAAATAACAACCGCATCTGGAGCAACTGTAACGCCTGGCACTGGCGGCACAACAGCGACGCCTAAAGCTAAACGGACTAAACATCCGCCTGGGACAGAAAGTAAGTCCATTTGATGTCAGAATCAATTATAGTAAGAGTGTAACATAATTATATTTGTTGTCTATGCAGAACCTCGGTCACGCTCACAATCGGAACAACCTGCTACTTGCCCCATTTGCTATGCCGTCATACGTCAGTCGCGCAATCTTCGTCGCCATCTCGAGCTGAGGCACTTCGCCAAGCCGGGCATCAAAAAGGAGAAGAAAAGTAAGTCCGGTAATGATACCACACTCGAGACAAGCACTGAGCTCAATAACACAACCGTGGGCGACACCAGCGAGACACCGGGAACACCATCGGCAACGGAGACGCCAGTTCGTGGCAACGTTACGCACTTACCTAGGGTCATAGCCACGCCAACGGCAAACAGTAATACTATTATGGCCAGTACTGTGCTGCCGCAGCAGCAACTGCAACAGCAACACCACCAAACACCGCAACAACAACAACAGCAACAACAGCAGCAGCAGCAGCAGCAACAACAACAGCAGCAGCAGCAGCAGCAACAACACTTAAACACATCAGCACTAAGCGGGGGTGGTGGTCAAACGCATCTTATGGGCGTCAGCATTAAGCATGAGGGCGGCGGCAGTGGCAGCAACGCCGCTGCTCAGCAGCAGCAGCAAGGCATGCAAAATGTTATACATATTGTGGGTGATCAAGTGTTTATGCCGCAGCAGCAGCAGCAGCCCCAATAACAACGGTGCCGCCGCCCAATGCCGCTCGCCTAATCATTCCACCTTAACACTCACACATACACACATGTAACACACATGCTCACACACGCACTCACACATAATGTTTGTAAATAACAAAAAAAAAAAAAAAGAAAGAAATATCCGTCTGCAAATGAATGTTTATTTCATTTTGTATAATTTTTGTTGTAAGTTTTCATTATTTTTTGCTTAAACATTTTTAACAATCCGATAACAGAAGAACAATTAATTATGATAATTTATGCAGTATTTTCTTGAATATAACGGTAAATACTCAAACTATTTTACTTAAAAACTGAAAGGATAAATCAAATATGTCGCGTTCTATTTTTAAGATGTAAAAAAAACTATTAACAAATTAATTTTTAATTATAAGCTTTCTTTGTGGCTTAAAAAAAGAAATTCACTTTAAGTTTCTTTTTAAATAATATATAATTACATATATTATAAATTGTTTAATAAATATATACGTATATCATTTTTATGTAACCAAATTTTTTTGCAATTAATTTTGATACTGCGGCAATTTGTTGTTAATATTTATTTATGTTTTTTTTTTCATTCCACCAAATCGTTGTCTCTTGTTTTATTTGCGCTCCGTTTTGTTTATTGTTGTTTTGCAAGAAAATACTGTAGTTTGATTTTTAGTTAGTTTTTTATAAAAACTTTAAATTCTAAAATACTTTTTAACACAAGTCTAAAACATGTTACTTGACTTTAAAACAATTTATACTTTATTTAACAAATTATTTATTTGTTTTTATTTGTTTGTTGTTTTAATCTTATGGCTTTTTTACTTTTTAAAATTGATTTTTGAACTTAGTATTACCTACTAATCTAGTCAGACTATAACCCACCTACACATGCAAACATACGCACATACATACACTCATCTACACACACTTCAATCTATTACTTCTTCAGTTTCTGCTGTCTCTGTTTTTTTTAGTCAGGTTGTTGTGTCAGTTGTTTTGACTTCTGTCCAAGATGGTGTCGCCCTAACGTATACGTTGACTTTCGCTTAACATTTGCTGTTTTTCCACAATGTTTATATACTCACACTTCTGATACTTTGCAGCATCCAGTGGCAAGAAACCTGGCAGCAGTACACCTGGCTCCGGGCAGCCCCAAACGGGCGGCAGTGGAGTAGTCCCTCAAGTGCAAACGGTACAGTCGCTACATCCGTTGCAGGGCGTGCAAGTCAAGAAGGATCCAGATGCACAGCAACAACAGCAACAGCAGCAGCAGCAGCAACAGCAGCAGCAACAGCAACAGCAACAAACAATGACAGTAACCACCACAGCTGGCAGTCAAGTGCAACAGCAGCAAGTGCAGCAGGTGCAAGTGCAACAGCAGCAGGCATTGCAGCATCACCAGATCATCGATTCATCTGGTAATTTGACAACGCCAACGACCAGCGCCCAAGCTGCTGCCCAGCAACAGGCAAGCAATCAGCAGCAGCAACAGCAGCAGCAGCAGCAACAGCAACAACAACAACAACAACAGCAGCAGCAGCTGGTGGCACAGTCAGATGGCAGTGAGAGTGGCACACCTCTCTCAATTGCTCAGGTGCAAACGTTGCAGGGTCATCAGATCATTGGCAATTTAAATCAGGTGAATATGACTGATTTTCAACAGCAACAACAACAGCAGCAGCAACAACAACAGCAGCAGCAGCAACAGCAACCACAAACACAACAACCACCACAGACGCTTTGAGTAGCAAGCACCTACTTTGACAAATCGAACCGAATCATACATCCACAATTATAAACCCAATCCAAGACCTGGTTCTCTGATTTTGCTTAACTCTTTACGGAATGCGAGTAGTAAAATGTTATCAACTAAACTTGGATATATAGAGCAGACTAGATAACTGATTGATTGACAAACATTGAGGGCTGCAAAGGGAAACGTGGCTGAAACTATTGCAATATTTTTTAACCTAATATAGAGAGCTAAATCGAAATTTAAACTGAATCATTTATTCTATTTCGATTTCTTTACTATATTTTTAATAATTATGACTTTGCAGTCCTGAATATAACACTAGATACAAGAGTAGATCTAAATAGAAATAGTTGTTTTAAGCATCTGGTGATAATTCAAGTTTACGAACTCGCATTATTCTGTGAGATGCTTTTGCAGCTGGGGGTACTTAAGAGAAACGATTGCAGTCGCATCATTTCGAAATATATTAAAGAATTCGATCTGATTGTTAATGTTGTGTTGTCGGTAGTCTGCTCTTTGTATCGCAAGGGTATTTAGTTTTTATATCCAATTTTGTTGTAATATTTTGTTAACTTTAAATATTGATTTCGCTATTATGAATAATGATGTTCTGCAATACTTAGTTATGTTTAAGAGCGCGCTATGGTTATTGGACTATGTAATGTGCTGTAGTTTGACACGTTTCTCGCCTCCCCCTACCTATGTTATATGTGTGTGTATGTAGTCTTAATTGGACAGACTAGGCATCCTAGTCAAACTTAATAACCGATCAGTGTAGTTTTACAACGCGCCAGACCCAAATATTGGCTCGGTGCTAAGCAATTGTTTTTAAATTTTACATTACTTTTGCGTTGTGTAGATTCTCTTAAATATGTTTAGCTAAAATCTTCCGAAACAAATTGCGAGGTTCACCTGTATTTCGTCTAATGAACTGATATTGGAGTAATATCTTTCATTTGGACTGTGTACTTTTGCCTTAATGCTGCTTTAACTCTGCAGATATCTATATAAGCTTTAGTTTCTCCTGTCTATCCGCTCTTAGGCCAAAACATCTTTGGTGCTACACTGTACAAAACAAGTTGTACGACTCTACACTTAAATTTTAATATACAAAAACAAAAAGCTCTATATTTACATAATTAATTTTATTTTTAATAGTTGCAAATTTTTTCCAATAAGTCATCTTTTATTATTATTTTTTTTTTTTTTGGTTAAGTCAAATATTTGCTTTGGTTTAGTTTGAAATTGCGTAAGAAAACAGATTCTATATATTTTTTTTATTAATTTTCATCTTTGAATATAGCAAATATTTGGCCTATTCAAAAAAAAAAAAAAAAAAAAAAAAAAAAAAATACCTTAAATCTTATGATCTAAATAAAATTTAATTTTATTTAAAAAGAATATACATAAATAAACCAAAAGATGTTAAAAAAAAAATTATTTCAAGAATTTTCGTTGATTGGTGTTGGAACTTTTTATTTTTAGCACAATTTATAAATTAGTATAATATATGTAAACAATATTTTAATTTCTATATTTTCTTAATTATATTTTAACAAATGTAGCCAGCTATTTAACCATGCCGAATTATTTTTTCTGTATCATTAATCCAACCACAAAGCTGTTATATGTTAGTTAAAAACTCGAACTATATTTGACTCTAATATGCTTTCCATTCAAACTTGCACCAACTGTATAACACTCACAGACAATCTAATAAGACTTTGCCAAAAGCGATATAAGCTGTTCGGAGGCTGTAAATAACATTTGAAATTCAAACTGACTAAACAAAACTCTAAAAACTTAGTTTAATATGAGGGGCCTCTGGCACTTGCGAAGGAGTAAATAATATATAAAGTGAAACAATATTATGTTGCCCCTCGCACTGTCTGTCATAACACAAACTCACGTTGCAGCCATAACCAAGTCATTAACAATCGTTTTTATCTTGTCTTCTCTCTTTTCGCTGCCTCGTTGTAAACTCACCAAATCTAATTAATAAATAATGTTTAAATATCGCAACTCATGCATCAAACAACCAAACAACCAACCCGACAAATAACCGCATCATTCATCAATAATCAATGTGTCTCAATAGGGCAACAATAAGAACATTTTGGTAAAGAAGGTTTTCATTTTGAAAGGCGGTAATAATACGTAATGATGAGCCAACGATATGACCAGCGGCCCTGGAGGTGGTGGAGCACTCGGGGGCGGTGGGCAAGCAGCGCAGCAGCAGCAGCAGCAGCAAAGCAGCAGCAGCAGCGGCAGTAAATGTGGCAGCAGCAGCAGCAACAACAATAGCAGCAGCGAACGCAGCAGCGCAGCAACAACAGTGAACAGCAGCAGCACTGGAGCAGTAACGACAACAACTGCAACTGGTGGATCACTGCAACGTCGCGTTCTTCGTGGCCACGCAGCGCAAACGACCAGTGGAGAGCGCGTGCTGCTTATTAACTATGTGCCGCAGTCGGGGGCATCAGCATCAGCAGCAGGAACATCAACAACCTCCACAATCAGCACATCACAGTTGCCCACACGCAAAATACTTCAGGCCAGAGCCACAGCAGCAGCAGCAGCAACAACAGCATCAACATCAGCAGCAGCAGCTGGCACATCAGCAACAGCATTAGGAGTTGGTGCAACCACCACACAGGCAACTACACCGTCTGTCTCCTTTGCTGGTCTTGGCTCTGAGGTGACAGTTACCTTGACGCGCACCAATCAGCGCGCCAGCGTAACCAATGTCACAGCCGCCGGTCATATTGTTAGGAATCAGCAAACCGTCTATCAAACAACCACCACATCTGCAGCTGGCGGATCAACCAGCGCGACGAGCATCCACGAGCCAGTGCAGCATTTGGTGGCCCCAACATCGCCGCCACCGCTGCGCTGGCAACAGCAGCAGCAACAGCACGAATACCAACATGAACACCATCTGGTAGAGGAGGAGCACATTATCATCGATCATCATCAGCAAGCAGAAGCGGATGATCAGTTGATAGAGTACGATGCCAGCGAGGGTGTTGTCATTGAGGATCACGATCAAGATCACCATCAGCAACAACAGCAGCATCAGCACCATCATCACTTGCAGCACCAACATCATCAGTTGGATTTGCAGGAAGAGTTACAGGATCCCGATGCACAACAACAGCATCACGACGTAGTCCAGGAGGTCTATCTGCAATAGAACAACAGTGTTACATATGCATAAGGGAAACCAATTCATTACCAATTATCCATGTAGTACACATGTAGTTGTTAGTTTTCTATAAGTTTTGATCACGTGTTGATTGCCAACAAATTGAGCTTTCTTAATGGATATATGTAAAAGTATGTATTTAATGGTCCGTGACATACGTGAACTGGGCTGGCTCTACATACTTATATATATATATATTCATTTCGTAATGCTCAAACGTTCTATTGTATATATATTGAACAATATGAAACATTTTAAACAAATTAATGAATAATTCGAAGAAAATTACATTTTTAAAGAAATGTAAGTAAAAGTCTATGTATAAAGTTAATTAAAGTATAAGAAAATATTAACAAATTATTTAAGAAACATTCAAATTAATGAAAATAAAAAAATATTTTTGTACCATACAAATTATGCTTGAAATTCGAAAAGATAATATACAAATATTTCATAATTTATGAAACGAATAATTATAACGTTATCGATATCAATTGTAAAATACAGATTTCAAATATAGAACTCCATTTAAAATACGTAAACTTAATAATATATATTTAATATTTAAAAAGAAAAAAAAAAAACATTTTGACATTTAAAAAACTGTTGAAGAAGATGGCAAAAAGATGCGCCCATAGGCTACATATGCATATAAATGATATGATATATAGCATGTATATATATTATATATCTTATGTGTATGTGTACATGTATATGGTGTATGTAACCCACGTTTGGGGCCAAAGCAATAAAGTGATGCGGTTTGTGTACTGAAAGCTAAAGAAAATAAACAGAACAAATTTGTTTCATGGGTCGGAGTCGAGGCAGAGGGAATAATGAAGTCAGTTTCTTGAATATATGTATATATATTTATTTATTAATTTTTATTTGTGTTTGCGTCTTTAAGTGTTGTCTAAACACATTTGTCATCTAAATTACAAAAGCCTTCTTATTTACAAATCCAATAACATTTTCTTTACAATGTGGCAAATTAACATAACTATAACAAACTACAAGCTAAGTATTTCAGTTGGAAAAATGTACATAATTGTGGTTTTTGATTTTCCAATTGCGTCACAAAACCTTTTTAAACGCACAGAAAAATTCTAGTTTCCAATAGTTTATAAAACTTCTAGGCGTTACTTTGTCTTTAAATTGTGAAATTTCTATTATAATAACAGGCACTAACTACGGCTTAGACATTTCCTAAACTTGTCTATAAATATTTTTTATATTTTCAATTTACTTCTCGTTTTGTTTCCTGCTCAATTATATGCTTAAAATGTCATAAAATGCGTTTTCAAATATTATTGTTCAAAGTTATCTATTAACACTTTTGGACCTGCATTCGTTTGATTCTCCTTTGTTTTTTTTTTTTTTGTTTTTGATTTGAATTTTGGAAGTTTTGAAGCGTTTTTATTTGAACTACATTTATCAATAAAATTGTTGAATTGAAATGCATCTTTTTAAGTACCAATTAATTTGCACTGCTCTAATTTGCCTGCAAGCTTGACAAGTTATCATTTAAATACATTAATTATTATTGTAAAATACATATAGTTAATCGGTCTATTTGGCGCTCTTCATCAGCCGGCTGCTGGAGAAGCATTCGCCAAAGAAACGGTCCAGCGAGTGATATAGGTGTGGACGTACGTTGACCAGGCCATGATCCTCATCGGCATAGCTCTGTTCGGGGAAAGAGGCAAGATTAAAGATAGTGAAACAACAACAACCACAGCCAGAGAAGTGTTTACTTACAATTTGCTTGAATAGTATGTCATGTCGCTCCAGATTCTTGGCCAAGATCATGGCCTGCTGGTAATGCACATTATCATCGGATGTGCCGTGGACGAGCAAATATTTCTTGCCGCGCAGCTTCTGGGCGCGTGTGCTCAGTCTCGAGTTGGCATAGCCAACCTCATTTGTCTCCGGCAGACCCATATAACGTTCCGTATAGATGGAGTCTACAAATCCAAAATAAAAACTTGTTAGTCATAGATTTGCGAGATTGGGACATTGCTTAGCCCTTACCATAATAGGTCCAATCCGTGACTGGCGCTATGGAGGCGGCGCATTTGAATACTCCATGGTCATCATTGGCCAGCGCCATGGCTGCTGCATAGCCACCATAGCTCCAGCCCCAGATGCCGATGTGTGCATCATCGATGTAATCAAACATTTGCGTCAAATTTCTGTCAATAAATTGAAAGAAGATAAATTCAAATTAGCAAGGGAACAATTTCCAGCTATGAGGGGAAATACAAAAGAGAGTTGGTATAGAAATAAGATGTTATAGATCAACAATTTATTGATTGAGTATCTTTGGAAAATATATTCAACTCATAAGTCACACTGTCTTGACAAAAGTATGTGGAAACAGCCTAAGTTTATTTTAACATAATATCAACTGAAGCTAATCATGTTTCTAAGCAAAACTTAATTTGATTATTATTTAGTATTATTAATAAATGCTAAAATAGAAATGGATATTTTAAAAAATTTGAAAGGTTTTTATACATCAGCTTATATCTGGCGATCAGCTTGATCTAAATTGCTATTATCACTAAATCATCTGTTGGCTATGTCTTTGATATTTATTGATGTATTTTTTAACAATTTAGTAGAGTTATAAAAGTTGAAATCATAATAAAGCAATGAAATATATTTTTATCAATAAAACGAGACAATGTTTTATTGCAATTATAATTAATTAATGAAATGATTTCGGTCATGCAACCGCCACGGTTGGCGTGTACAGAACGCAATCTGGAATATTAATTTTCAGAACCATGACCAATCAAGTTTGTCGAATGGAACCAATATTTTCATAAATATTTTAACAATTTGCAAGCATAGCACTGAGTTACTCTATTCATAATGAAATGTCAAGTGAAACTAAATAAAAAGCAACTATCAATTGTAAAACGGGTCCTCAAATAAGGTAGTGTTGCCAGCTCCAAGTTGTAAGCCCCTATAAAAACAACCCTTTGTATGGTCGTAGCAGCAATAACTGTTTATAACTGTTCATACGATATCATCTTCTATGCTTCACAGAGTTAGTGATAACAGTAGGACACTTTTCTGGCTTATAATCTGAGCACTTACTGCGTAACCTTGATCTGATCGCTGATTTCAACTGTGCCCAGCTGCAGGTAGATCGCATGCAACAGGTTCTCGCCGCGTAGTCCCGAGCCGCGTCCATCGATCTTGGCATAGATGACAGATTGGTTTGAGGACAGGTAAGTGCCCCAGTCCATCATCCATTTGTTAGTCACCTGAGTCACGTGAAATGGTAAATGCTTAGCTTTAACTTTTGATTGTAATTCAGTAATTGCTTACGGAATAGGAATCGGGTCCACCATAGACATCCACAAGCATTGGATATTTGGTTTTGCCGCTCGTATCCAAATTGGGTGGCAGTTGGAGCAGCACCTTTGCCTGGAATCCGCCATCGATGTTCACTGTGAGTATCTTGTGTGTGGGCAGTGCCACGCCTCGCAACTTGGAGCGCAATGCGTCGTTATTCTCCCAATCCATTAGCTTTTTCAGCGTTACCTGAGCTATAATCAGATACAACAGAACACAATTCAAGCCTTTGTTATGTGCCACCAATGAGCTTCCACCTACAGTTCGCATAGCTCCATTCGTATACTGAAGTTGTGGGTATGCCTGGTCCCAGAGAGGTAATCACAATTTGATTATTGTCATTGAAGATGGCCGAGTAGTAGTTCTGCTCCACATCGCCCGAAGTCATCAGCTTGCATGTCAGACACTTGGCCGTCTGCTTGCGTGTGGTCACAGCTCGAATCGCATAGAGATGCAGCTGCTCCGGATGCTCCTCTGTGTTGGCCGTGTAAAAGATGACATCATGCGTGGCATCCCAATGGAGTATGCTGTCCACCACAAACTTGCCACTGGTCAGGGGTTCAAGCTTTGCATTGATCACATCTGTAGCAAGCAGCTGCAGTTGCTTATAGTTATCGTGGGGCAGCACGAAGGCCAGCCGTGAGCCATTGCGGTTCTTAAATGGTGCCGTATAAAGGTCAACCCAGCCTGTTTTCGATTCGGTACTGTATAGCTGCCGGTGGGCAAGGTAGAGTGGAATTAATATGTTATTAAGCAAAAAGTAATCTCTTTTAGAAAGTTGTTTTTATATGATTTATAAAGTTTATAAAGTTGCAAGTTGTTGGAATATTAACTACACGCTTAGATACTTAAAAAGCTGTGGAGTGACAGGCGTGGCTAATTGAATAATTTTGAAGTCTCTTTAGAATCATGTCAGCTCTCATGGTCCTTCACTATGAGGACAGAGTATATATTTGTCTTATATGCTCTTGTCACTGGAAACTTACCTCACTTATACACAATATATCTTGTAGAGCTTTGGAGCTAGTATTGTTGAAGCTGTAGTATTGGTTGTTTGGAATCTCGCTTCTTTTAGAAATTATGAACTCTAAGGGTAAGCCACTGGTGACTTGCTTCTATGATTAACTCAAAGTTCATTACGTTGAAATAAATATCAATGAAGGTTTCAATCGACTTTGTGTCCTTACCCTATTCCTTCTTTTTATACTCAATCGCGAAGTGAAAGGGTATATTGGTTTTGTCCTTTTATATGAATGAAAACCATTTCGATTGTTGTGAAGCTAGATACTTGAAATTTGTAATATATATTTACTTGTGGATGCTCTCTTCTGATAATGGGTTAAGATTTTTCCGATAGGCCTGCTAAGGGCATGGTAAATGTAAAACCTCCTTGACAGCCCAAAATCAAAAAATATAGTGGATGTATCTACGCCCGTTGAGGGCATTGCAAATCTGGCAAAACAGTATCTTCTCAAGTTCTGAAGCGTTCAATTATACAAACATGGATGGGATATCTGCAGCAAATTTTTTCGACGCATAAAATTTGTGTTTTAGGTGCCACAACATAAGGTTAGCGTGACTGCAGCATTTTTATTCTACAATTTATTTCTCTTGCAGGAAGTAAATTTTTATTATTTGCTTTAAAGGCAAAGTTCCCTCTTGAGTACTTACCACCTTACGGCTACGTCCGTCGAAGCTAATGACATAGGCAGCATTTTGCACACGATTCATCCATATCGACAAGACATTATCGTTGTCCAGCCAGCTGACTACTGTGACTATATAATCGGTTTCAGTGTTTAGGGCACTTGGCACTGGCATCGAGGTGAGGAACTCCTTGCCCGATGTCGCTCGCTCGAGATCAGCCATAAAGAGCACTACGCGTGGATTTGAGGAGCCCGCCTTAGGATATGGAATCTCCTGATGTAACGGATACTGGAAGCGCAGGTCACCGGCATCGCCGTAGTAGGGGAAGTTGATGACATGCGTGGGCGAGTCGTCGAATTGAATGAAGGCTATTTGAGTGCCCGTGGGATTGAACCAGGTGGCCACATTTGAGCTGAATACCTCCTCCTCATACACCCAGTCGGGTATGCCGTTCAAGAAAATGCCACTCTCATTGCTGGTGATAGCTATCTCCGTGTCCAGAGCGGTCTTCTTATAATACAAATTGCGGTTGAAGTTAATGATCAGTGCATTGCCCACCGGTGACCATTGAACCATGCTAAGGAACGCAGGCTCATTCTGGATCGTCAGCGGGGTAATGGTGTTGGAGGTCAGGTTATAAATGTCGTACTGGGCCAAGAAGCTATAGCGGAACGTCTTCTTGTAGTTCTTTGCCAGCAACAGCAGCTGGCCATCAGCGGACTTCTCAAAGAGCACATACTGCGCCGCGTTGGCCAACAGCGTGGTGACCACTTGCGTCTTTGAATCCAGTTCCACAATGTCCTGAAAGGCTTAACACTGTATAATACATCTATTGAAGTGCAAATGCTGTACACCCACCGCATTATGTCTGTAGATTACGCTGTTTCCATTGCTCCAGCTGCCGTTGAAGCGCTTCGCATACAATTGACCGCTGAGCACGTCCTCCAGATCGATTGCATTATCCTTTGGTTTATCGCCGCTGTCGTCCTCATCGCCCGATCGCAGGATGAACACCAGCAGCGTAGCCAACAGAGCTAAGGCAACAAGTCCAGCAACCAAAATTATTATGCGCACTCTGCGCTCCTTCTTCTTGGAGTACACCAGGTTCTGTGGAGCAACGATTGAGTAGTTGTTATTGCAGATTGATTAGAAATTTGATTGTAGATGTTATAGGTTTATGCGAATGTGAAATTGGACAGTTTTCCAAATTTCCAAATTCTTTTTCAGACTATAAAAATTCTAAGCATTTTTATGGTATGGAATTATTATTTATTTATAAATTTTGATATAATTTTTTATTTGATATAAATTTATTTTTATTGAAACTTCGCTTTCATCTTTATCATTTCTTTTTTCTCTATATTATTTTTATTGAAACTTCGCTTTCATCTTTATCATTTCTTTTTTCTCTATAAGAATTAATATCAATAAATATTTTTGATATAAAATAAACTTACATAATGTCAGATCTGAAGAGATACTTATATGGAATGAAATATTTCTTGTTTCAACAGCAACTTTTTCATGTAGTTTTTAAAACATTTCTAAATATGGAAGATCATCAAGGTATGTTGCTGAAGAGTTCAGCATTATTAGAGTCTTAAGTCTCTCTCTATTTACTGTTCTTTATAGTATATACTAAATACTATATTATAAGTTTATATATATATTTAAACATTTGCTCAATTAGCCAAGCTTTATAAGCAAAACGTAAATTCCGCATATATTTTGATGTGACAATTATAGCTAAGCTATCAAAATTCGAATCACGTTTCACAGCGACGCAGAATAAGTGAGTTTTGCATATAAATTGTTGTTGTTGAGGCTTTGTTGCGCATGCGAATGCGCTTTTTCTTTTCGACCATCGTGAACGATCAGAAATCACGAGACGTTGACTGAAAATGAAAGTGGTTTTGTTTTCTACCAGACTGGCGTCGGCTCGGAACAGGTTTACAGATTGTTAGGTGAGCCGGGAGCTATTCAGGTAGGGGAAACCGACAATTGCGCCATGACGTAAGCTCACAAAGTGTTTACCAGGTAGTTTGTTATATAACTAATTTTTATTGACTTTTGGTTTTGGTATTTTCAACTTGTCATTTGCACACAAAACACAAAGAAACTGCTCAATGTGTGCAATAGAGAGCTGTCCACAGCTGTCCTATAATAAAAGTAAATTACATTTAATTGTCTTTTTCTGTGTCACTAAGAAATTATGCCAAATATATTTTGACTGGCTCAAGGTTAAGCGGATTATGGCAGTAAAAATATGGATATAATCTTTGAAGCATATTTCTAAGTTGTACATTCGAATTCAAAAAGACTTTTGTATAGATCTCAGAAAATAATTCAACTTATTTTAATACTTCCTCTGGTCATGTGCTAAGAACCGGTTGAAGCTCATTCATTCAGTTGAGTGAACTTTGACATTTCTTTTATAACAAATTTATTATTACATTTATTTTCTAATGCTCTTGCATAACCAGCTCTGAGCAGGTATTGAGCTCGTGTCCGTATCTAGCCAACATTTGCACTTATCACAAAGTCAGCTAACCGCACAAATGCCATTAAGATATGCAAAGGAAATCGAAGCGAGCTTCCCAATAGGAATCCTTTGCCCCGAAGCCCCACGTCACGTATACTCAGAATCCCCACATGATTTGCAGTGGCACAGCTAAAATATATGGCACCTTGGAGCCAACTGTAGCTGTGGCTGTAACTGGCTTCGAAGACATGTTGGTTACAAGTTTTGCGATTTTATGGTTAGAACAGCCATAAAATATGGCCCACTAGGCACTGCAATCACTTGGGCTTTGTTGACTGGCTTTATGGGGTCACCGCATTTATTAAGCACAGATCAAATTGAAATTGTTTGTTTATGCGCACAGTTTTTGTTCCACTTCCCTTTTTTCTAATATTGCATTCAATCTGTTTCAACACCAACAGTTGCACTGAATTCAAATATGAGTACATCAGCTTGCAAGCCAGTTGAGTACCTTACAAAATAGTGGGCGAAGAGTTGATGGTGAAGAGCTGCATATAAATTAAATATTTTATTGAAGATGAACTTAAGCAATTTCGAAATTCGATTTGTTATCAATTTCAGACATTGTTAGGCGTGACTCTGAAAGGGTATTCATATTGTGTCTGTTTATTGAAAAGGGAAAAACCAAATAATATTTTCAATTGCTTCGATGGGGTGCAAATTGAAAATACGCATGAACAGACGCCGTCTGGGTTCGGCGCATGATGTTTGTCCGTCTAGAGATTGTTTGGGGAGCTGTGAATAGAATATGTGCACAATATGGCGCAATTAGTGGCGCCAGACGAGTCCAAACAATTTCATTAAATATATATAAAGCCGAAAGCTTTTAGGAGCAATCCCTGCCCTAAGGCAACAGGACTACAAAAATCAGCTGCTCGACTAGCTAGAACTCCAACTCGAACGTTTGCTTGTGCACTTGAACTTCCGGCAATTAGTTGGTATCTATCTGGCCTGGGCTAGAGCCAGAAAGGGTGGGTTGAAATTGAATACAATTTATATCCATGTTGCACCACATGGCGTATACTTGTTTAGCGTCAGTTGCCATTTTGTTAGCTGACACATAATCGCCTGTGGGTTGCGGCAAGCCACTCAGTCCTCGTCCATCCCAAATGCTCTGCTAAAAAATGAATGAGCTTGAAGAGCAGCAGCAACAGTGTCAGCTGCACGTACCCTCACAGAGGCTATTCTTAGTTTCTTACTAGCTTTCTTTGCTTTCAATCATTTTCATATATGAAATAAGCTTAAAGGAAAACTATTAATGAAGCTCGAGTATCTATAAAATAGAATGTTTTTAAGACAGCATTACATCTATTGATATATCGAATTAAATATAAGACTTTCTTTAGGGTATCTTCCATTTGACTATATGAAATACTTTTAAGATTTTCACTAACAATTCAAAGTGAATAGAATCCAAATCTCGAAACGTGATGAATCTGGTTCAAAAAATATGTGTAAAATCATTTAAACAAATATACCTGTCGGGAGGTAATGACTTTTGAAGTAAAAGTCATTATTGAGCCCTTGCCTTTCATGAGTATGATATTCAGTCAGAATATAGATAATAACATTTAGTCATCAAGAATTAGTTCTACTGAAACTAGACTGTATTGAGATATACTTAAGATTCTGAAAAAAAATTTTTTTTTTCATTTTATAGATTTAAAACTCACAACATAAATTTGATTTTTTTTTTCAGAATGGTATTCGTCTTTTACTTTTATTTTCAAATTTACCACATCAAACCCAGAGTAAGGTCTGACTCTTGAGGTCTAGTTCTCATCCATTCACAGTCAATCATATATTACAATTTGGTAGAAGGATATATCACAATCACAATCAGGAATACATGGAATTACCGTTACCTTCTCTTCATAGTATTTATTTATTCACCTATATCCTTGCGTATATTAGATAAACAATTCTAAGTAGATTAACTAAGCAATTCTAAGATTTACCTTGCAACAGCCCATAACAGCTGCAATTCACTTGTAAATTATTGACTTTACTGCTGCCTAGGTACAACTACTCTGAAAGGTGTCCATGGACTTCAGTCTCCTTTATACCTCTGCTCTGCTAGCGCTAATCCCTACACCAATAACCTGCTGAAAGGGTATAACGTTGTTGTCAGCCTGAAAGAGTAAAAGAACGAAGGCGGCCTGCGCCTTTCCTTTGCCTTTTAATGAGTGGTTACTTCTCGGGGCGATATAGGCTTGTCATTTGTCGTTTAGTTTGTCATTAAGCCGGTAGTTAATTAGTTGTCCTGTGCCTGGTTTCTACCAGCAATTTTAATACATTTTACTTAATGTGAACATATTTTTCGCAAATCGTGCTAGACAAATGGGCAGCGTAAATTGTTTTCTTATTTAGCAACGGGCATTAGGCCTTTGACAGCTATTCCAAATGAGCCTGATCCTAATGTGTAAGGAAGCTTAATTGTTTTCTTAAAGCAATTTGTTTAGACACATACTTATATTGAATTTAGCCTTTTTAAGTTTACAGGCTTGAAGTCATGTATTCATATTCATGTATCATTACTCATCAACTATTAACCATTCTTAAACATTAACTATACGAGCAAATTGTTTGTATATTCCTTTCAAGTTCACCTCGACTTCAGCTGCTGGAACTTCCACACTTTCTTTTACTCTTCGAAATTCTATTCACATTTTTATATTTTTATTAAACAGAAATAATATAGGTTATATTGATTTGAGGCAGTCCCAGCTTCTAGAAGCAATCGATTGTTGGCTTGTTACCATTTCTACCTTTACCTTTCACTATAAGTGCTAAGCAGCTCCTCAGGTAGTTCGTAAGGGCATTCAATTTTCCACATTCCATCCATAAACTCTGCACCTTTTAAGGAGTGGTTATTTCCCAAGGCTATTTTGCTTGTCGCTTGGTTTTTCATTAAACCAGCAAAGTTAATTAGTTGTCTTGGGCGTGTCCTTCTTCTATTATTGTTATTGCGTCTCTTAGCAGAAATGTTAGTACAATTTCACTTATAGCCAACATATTTTGCGTTTGGCTTTGAGCTCTCTGATTTTATGTGTCTTTAATTTATGAATTCACGGAACTCTAAGAACTTGAGCGAGTTTTAACTAATTATAGGGGACTACGTTTACTATCTTCCGATTACTTATTGCCACTCTGGGCATTTTGCACAGTTGTTGTCTCTTATAGACAAACAATAATTTATAAACACTTTATTTTATACAGTGAACAAAGCTAATCTTGTTTGCTTGGAAATAAGACCTCGCCTAAATCTCAATTAAGACATTCATCTCTAATTACCTCACTTTCCTATGTTTATCCCTATTTAATCTACTACGGAAGGTAAGTACTTCAAAGCTCACTTAGTGCCACATGTCACATTATTATACCATAGGGCTGCTGCCCGTAATTGAGGCTAACACTATGTTGTCGCCTGTTGCATGTCACGCCCAGACACACACACACACACACTCTCGCGCACAACAAAAAGGCCGCAAACACAATTGAAATCGTTTAGTCCTTTCAGTGAACCGCTGTAGCGAACACCATTTAATGTCACTAATGGTGCATTGGAGCAGTCATCGACAGCATCAATTAGTGGCTCATTATGGCAGTCACAGCCACAGACCAGTGGCCCACTTGGGCCATGTGCATGCCAGTATGTTTTAATTGAAGATCAACAATTTCTGAGCAAATACTCTCTTGCGCGTGTGTGTGCGGCTTACCTTGAAGCGGTTCATGCCGCCGCCAAAGCCACCAGAGCTGTGCAAATCATCATCGTCCAAGCTGCTGCCACCAACCCCACCCAGCATGGACTCACTCAACTTGGCACTGTGGCGTCTCAGCTGATAGGCGCTCGCTGAATTCAAGGTGGCAGCTGGCTTATAGTAGTAGGGCGGGTGCTGATGGCGATGCGAGTGGAGAGCGGAGGCGGTGGTGGCCGCTGCCGTTGCATCCTCAAAGTCATAGTCCAGCAGCTCGATTGGATGCTCGCATTTGCAACGATGCGGCGGTGTTCGATGTGGTGTCGTCATAGCAGATTGAGGATGCTGGTGGTGTCTGCTTTTGTTGCCATTGTGGTGACTGTGACTGTTGCTGCCATGCGGATGCGGATGCGGTGGATGAGGCGGTGGCGGAATGTCTGCGGGTGTTATATAGATTTTACCACCACCACCACCACCCACAGCACCCACAGTTCCCACAGCGTCCGGTTGTTGCAGCTGCTTGCTCGGCCAGTGGAACTCGTCAAACTCGCTCGAGTTGTTGACCAGTTGTTGTTGCTGTTCCCACTGCAACTGTCGAAGCTGTTGTTGTTGCTGTTGCTGCTGTGGTATGTGTCGCATGCAACTTTGTGGCTGTTGTAGTTGTTGCTGTTGTTGCTGCTGCTGCTGTTGCTGCTTGTGGCTGTGGTAGCGAAAATATTGCTGTTGTGCTGTGGCCGCGGAGGCGGGCAAATACTTTTCATCGCGGCCAGAACAAGAAGAGTAGCCATATAAATTGTTTGTTGACAGCAAAAAGTGTTCTCTGTTCGTATTCGTGTTCATGTGTGTGTGTGTTGCAGCGGGAAGGGCGGTATGGGATATAAAGCTTAAGTTCGGTCATACATTTTGGCATAAAGCAAAAAGTGGACAGTGAACAAAATCAAATGCCAGCTAAGGGCAGCAAGCATAACGAGCAACTACAATAAAAGAGGCTTTAAATTGAAACTATGGCAAAAAATAAGAAAATAAAACCTCACTTGGAGTTATCGGGCAAGTAGAACAAGTTCAATCAAGCGATTCTGTATTGTTTTTCATTTCGATTTATTCAGAGTTGAAAAGCAACTTACAATCGAATTTGATTGTCCGCTGGAACAAAAACCATTCAATTGAACTGGTTCATAAGCTAAGTAACGTTCAATACTTATTGCTTATCGAACTTAAGAACTAAGGAGTGATATTGTCTCCGACAAAACTTTTCATTTAGTAATAACAATAAAACTAATGCATTTAAATAAAAAATAAATAATATAAAATAACATAGAGATTGTAGTGAGTTAATTAATAAATTAATTTAACAAATAAGAAATAGTAAATGTTTTCATTGACCATCCAGCGGTTTATCATTCTCATTTCTCATTCACAAACGATAAGAAGTAATCAGAAAAAATCTTAAAGAGGAATATTCATTTAATTTTTAAAACCAAAAGAGAAATATTTTTAGATTAATCTAAAAATACCTTAGCTAACAAAAATATTTAAATATTTAGGGCTATATATTTAATTGTGGGAAAATCGTATAACGATATTAATAAATTTGTAGAATGGTTTTATAACATTCAACTGTGTGTACAAACAAAATTAAAGCTTAACATTTAGAAATGAGTTTTTAAGGGCAATGATCTGTGTGTTCATCTGAAAATCAATACACTAAAACCAAGTTGATATATCGATCTTATGAACTATCAAAAATTAATATGAAATTTCAAGTTTATAAATATAATATATATATTAACCTTATGCAAACTGGCGGAAAGACAGTATAAATATAACGATTACGTTCGCCGTGCTGATCAGGAATATATATAACTATATAAAACGTAAGGATGCAGCCACGCTTTAATTAATCACACAACTCTTAATTTGAATGTCTTCAAAATTAAATTTTAAAAACGTTTCTTTTTCTACTCAAAGAATAAAAAAAAATTATAGACTTTCAAAATTAATATTGATATTTATATGGATATTAAATTATTATTATTAATATTTTTTATCTAACTATCTCAAAGTTCAACTAGTAATATAATTAAAATAATTGTCAAAAAAATTTTAAGATCATCAGATAAATATATAAAGAAATTCAGCTACTCACAATATGAATTACATTTTTGGATGGCAAAAGGCCACAATCAAAGCTGAGCTGCAAGCATTATTTAACCGTTACGGCAGAGACTCTTTTGCAACTAAATGCTCCAACTATATTCTTAAATGGCCTGCAGCAAGAGTACACAAACGAAGTTACGAAATGCAATTTCCACATAACCAAATAGAGGGAAAGCAAACGAAAGTGAGGCAGAGCAAGTCATAACCAAAGCCAAGTGAGATTTGAGCCAAATGCATTAGCTCGATTTGGTGGCGAGCTCACCGCAATTATTTAATTACACAGTGGCTAGAGGATTGTTTAGTTGGCTTGGTTGCCTGGTTGAGGCTCCCCGCTGACTGCCGCCCAGTCTGTGTTCATGGATTGCTCTCGGCTTAATCAAAGAGCCAACGAAGTCAAGCATGGCACAAAAGAGCGACAAAACTTTTGTTGCAACTTTGTGTTGCAGGCAGCCAAGTACGAGCCGAGTACGAGCAACCGCAGAAAGGACTTCGAGGGGCGACGTCATCACTTCTACAGTGTCACCCACTCACACACAGGCACACACACACATATATATATATATATATGTATATATACATATAGCCATAGAGGCATATACGGACCTTCAAAAGCCGCTGAGCTACACAAAGCTCGAGACCTCGGACCGATACGTATCGCTAATGATGATCAAATAACGGGCCAAATGCTGGGGCCTCGCAACAAAGAGCCCACGAAAATCGTTAGCCCAGTTGGCAGCAAACCAGGAAATTCTCTGCTGCCCTTCCCCAAAAACTGTGCCATGAGCCCCAATATGCCTCGTCTTCGACCTCCCTTCGGCGTCGTCTGGGCGTAATGAGCGCTGCTTTCACTTTTCACAGTCGTGAGGCTGAACTGAACGAGCAGGTCTGGGCGCAGGAGAAGCTGCAACTTCCAACTAGTTTGGCACTTGACTGCTGTGTGGCACAAATGATATGTAAATATCAAAACAATTTGCTATCATTCGAGCCCTCGACCTGGGTTGCTATTTGATTAGGGCTCGATCAATGCGCCCTTTGCAATGAGGCACGCTGAGACTAGCTGGCATGGCACACGTTTTTAGGTCATTCCCTTAAAGAATTTAATTAGATAACCAGCAGCAATGCAAGCAGAATGCTTGCCCCAAAATGCAAAAATAAAAGAGGACTGGTAACTGTGCGCATGCAGGTGACACTTAAAAGTGTGTAATGGAGTGCGCTCGCCCCTCTGCGCGCCGCTGCGTTCATGCACAACAAATTATGAATTCAAAAGAATCAGAATAATAAATTATATTTCTGTCGCACTCTCGCGTGAATTGTGGGCGAGAGCTTAAACTAGTTAATAAAAAGCACACGCCCAAAAACAGAATGCATAAATATTTCGATGTTTAGGCCAGCAAAACTCAGAAATAAAATAGCCTTAAATGTGCTCATAAATAATGGGATACAATCGTTAAACGAAATCGCCTGCAAGAGGGTGGGGAGTAGGGGTTGCGGGTAGGGGCAGAGGTTAGAACGCATGGTTCAAAATCATAAACAAATTTCATGCGAGCAGTGCAAATTTGAATATATCGAATCTCTGTGCTTAACGTAAATAGAAAAATAACAAAACAATCATGCGAAAGTTTTCGGTTTCAAAATACATTTGGCTTAAAGTGGAAGAGTTCTTGGCTTGTAGTTTTTATAGTTTGTGTACGATATTAAACGTATTCCTTACGCAATACATACCTGATCGCTTTGCGCTGTTTCGGTCATTGAAACATCTCTGCCAGACATTTTTTAAGCTTGGTTTGTTATGTGTATTTAGGATTGCATAAACTTGGAGTTGTTACTGCATTAAAAAGGTAAAAATTTCAATATTTATTTGATGAATTTATTTTGTAGTTTTATTTTTTATTATTTAAAAAGTGTTTTTGATTGGATTAAGCGCTTTGCTGCATTTTTTATTCACTTTTCATGTTCAGTTTAATTGTGGCTATATTCGAATTTTTATGCAACTTTTCGAACGTTTATTTCGCTGTGATTTATTGCGCATTCTTGTCCAGTTTTTCAGTTTATTTTTTTGAAAATACTTAAACTAGTTTTTTTATGTGGCATATTGAATTTATTTCAGATGAAACGCTAGATATATATATATATATATATATATATATATATAAATGAATATATATTTATATATTTTATGTATGTATATGTATATAAATATATATTTTTTGGGTCTTTGTGTTGCGCTTTTATTTGAGCAAGTCAGTAAATATTTTTAATTCTCAAGCGTGGTTAGAATAATTTCTGTCGCTGTTCCCTATGCCACATGTATGCATACAATACTTGTTTTATACCCTTGCTTCTTGTGTCTGTTTTTTACGTAACTTAATCCTTGTCTCACAAAGTATTTGCTAACCGTTTCCCCGAGCGAACCCACAGTTTCGTATCTCATTTGTGCAGCGAAGTAAAGAGCAGCCGCTTGTCATTTAATGCAAATTAAGCAATTTAAATAAGTAAACAAATAAACAAAAACGGGACAAAATGCGAATTTGTGGTTAAATGGGGACTACAAAGATGAAGACGAAGCTTAGGATAACAGAAACGCACACACACTCAAACACACACACTCAAACACACACATACGTAAGTGCGCTCGCCTTGCTGTTTTGTTTGGTTTGTCGCATTGCACATAACTCGTTACTCATACGCCGCGTTGTATAGCCGAATTGCGGCTACAAATGTGCTGCCTGCTGGTCTGCCTGTCTGCCTGCCTTACGGTTGCCAATTGTCAGAGCCACGCGGCGACTGCGGTAGACAATAACATAGACTACCGAGCATAGGGCGGTGCCAGACCCCAAAAGCAAAGTAAATAAGAAATATAAAAATACCAGCGAGAAATTGAAATTGCGTATACGTAAACGAAAGAAAAAACAACCGAAAAAGGGCGCTTAAGTCTTATGTAAACAGACAGACACAAGTAGGTAAGAATCGCGTTGCGAAACGAGATAAAAAGAGCGAATCGTTGCCCGAAAATTTGATAAATGTGCTGTGACCTTTGTACTAATGCGCTGCTAAATGTGTATGTAATGGATATTGGAACTGAGGCGCAACAAAGATGGAGATAGCGCACGTGAGTGAAGGCAAGAGGTAGCTAGGCATAGTGGGAGCGACTCGTTTGTCGTCTTGCCTCCGTTACTCTAGAGAGGGTTTCTTGTAGCAAATAGAAATCTATGACCATATTATTGGCAACTGTGATAGATGCGTCAGTAAATCAACTGACTAGCTATTGAGTGTAAATACGAGTTGTAAGATTAAATAATAAATAGATAAAATTCATGATTTCTTTAACTCATTTAAGCTTGAATCAAATAAAAAAAGATTTTTTTAAAATAGTTCGTAAGCAGCTTAGACATCAGTCACATACATTTATATCTATATATAAGTATATATATATATATATATATATATATATATATATCCAAATATCATAAATATAGCTTGTTATTCTTTATCATGTAGTCATATAGATCTACTACATTATTCATTTTTATCATCTTATAATTTACTTCTTTCAGATTTTTCCTGTTTATTTACTTAATATTAACTTAAATAGTTTTTGAGCATATTTGAAACATATTTGGGACAAAATTGTTTAGCTGTTAAAATTGCTTAGTTCGACCATTAATCAACGGCGTTTAGGTTGACCACACAAAGGTCATTTGGGACCAAAGTATCTTCTACTCTAGGCTCTTAAAATTGCAAAGATATTTTACTTGCGGTCCTTTTATGTCGGCACTTTTATCTTGTCAACTGGGGGCAGCTGTTGTTTAGCTAAAATTCATTAAATATTAATGAGCTTAAAAGCGGCGAACAATTTGTCCAGTTGCAGCAGAGGAAACTCTAATATTGTTACTGACTTGCCGCATAAATCGCTTTGTTATTGATGTAGAGAGCGGAATAGAGACAGAGAGAGAGATAGAAAGAGTGAGAGGGAGGCTGTGAATCATATATAACAGGGACGTTTGCTTGCACTGGGTTGAGCTCTAATCCTGTTCTGAATATTTGATTTTTCATTTGTGCATTTTTCACTTAGGGCAAACATAAATTGCAAGTGACACTCAAGAGCCGACGAAGGACCTAATGGTCGTCTGACAGCGAGCAGTGAAAGCAAAGAACGGAAACAGCAGGAAACATGTCCTTTGCACTGACAAATAAAAGATGCTGCAGATAGAACTTTCATCACTTTACGATTGAAGGTCCAAAGTGCCAAAGGAAGATTAAGGAACGAAGCGGAACTGAAAATGGAGCTGAACCAGTTTTCAATCAAGCGATAAGTTTTTATGTAATCGATATGTAACGATCTATATAAATATAAATTAAATTGGCTAATATATAATATATATTTTTATGATTCTATCTCACTCTCTATAAATGATTTATATATATATATATAAATATATGTTTATATATATATATATATTTATATAAATATGTTTATGTCAGTTATGTTTAGATGTTTCGTTGTTTTATATTTCGATAAGCTTCAAGCCCACTCGGAACTGTTCCATATCTGAGTCGATATTAGAATTATCTCACGCTTTCAAGTGTTTCTCACTTTTCATCTTTCACATTTGCACCTTTAATTGAAACTGTTGAAACGTGTCTTGATTAAACGGAGTCTGCTTTTATTTTGTAATCAGCACAACCCTTGCGCTTAAGAGAGCAGCAAAGCTGATTTATGGGCAACACTGTTCAATGTCAAACTAAAATCTACTAGTCACGTGAGAAAATTTAAGGATTTGTTTTTTCTTGAATACAAAAATAATTATTGTATACAATTATATACAATTAGCATAGAATGTCTGACTCCAATAACAACTTTAATGTTCAGGACTTCTCACGGCGTTGGGATAGCAGCGCGAATTCATACCAAAGCCAGTCGCCCCGGGTCGACATTGATATTGACTCAGATGAAGACTTACTATTGGATTCGTACACAGAGCCGCAACGAAGCCGGAACTTCAATTCGCCAATAAGCTGTGCAGATGTGCAGGCGAATGAGGATGTGGATGTGGATGTGGATGTAGATGTGGATGCGGATGTGGATGTAGATGGGCAGATGGCTGCAATGCCGTCGTCTTGGCCAGCTGAGAGCCAATCCAATTGGGAAATGCAAGGCTCTCCGGCTCCGTCAGCTATGCCGGAAAACAATCAGGTGTTGGACGAGGAGGAGTCGGAGTCTGAATCCGAAACCGAATTAGAATTTATCTTTGAGGAAACGCCACCTCTACATGGCATCAGATTCTTCAATCCAAATTACCAGCCGCCGGCACAAGCGGCCAATGCCAATGCCAATGTTCCGGCAAATGCAACTGCATTGCCGTCAATTGGCCAGGTGAACAATTCGCGCTTGGACCTGCGCCCGGTCCCGGCCTCAATCGATCTAACACGTAACCGACCCTCGGCCACCTGGCGTGATTATCATGCACGCGTTCGGGCACAGAATCGTCCATCTGCACCGAATGGTATGCAGCGGCTCTGCGCTGGACAGCCGCCCAACCGTGTTCCAATGTTCATGGATGAGGAGATAGGCGCCTTTGTATTCTTTCGCAACGATACCGATTCCGAGGAGGAGCCGGTACAGCCCCCCTTGGCCATGGTGCCGCGACGCGGCAACAGTGTCAGCGATCTCAGTCAGTGCAGCAGCGACGATGAGCCAGCACCCAAGTAGTATCATTCATGTGAACATTATTGACATTGATACAGGACTTCCACTTAGGATACAGAACATACACTTAATATACATCACAAAGTGCAACAGATGTGCAAATGGTCACCCGTTGATCACATGCAGGACACACCAGACTTTTTCAAATCTTTCATAAAGACACTTTGTACGTGCAATCCCACCTTATGGCTTCAAGGTCTTATACAACACAAAACTCGAATAAACGATTTGAATATAAATTTGATCAATTGTTTATCAGGTATAATCGTTTTCGCATCTGATTAATGATGTCCGAAAACCAGCCTGACTTGAGGAGCCTTCATCAATGATACAAAGTGCCAAGGCACACTTAAAAACAAATTGATTTGGTATATTAATTAAAATTGCCATTCAATACATTGTTTCAAAACTTAGGTAAATATTTGAAAATAGTTTGAAGTTGAACTTCAGTTATTGCTAACAATAATTTATTGATTCCTTGACCATGTGAATTTGGGCTGTCCTCTGCTCAAGTTGTTTAATGAACATTTTAAGCAATTTGCTAGCTGTGAGAATAATTTTGCTTAAATAGTCGCAATCGAGAAATGAAGCCCAGGACAAACAATGTGCTGGATGCAAATCTCTGCGGTAAGTAGAGCAGGGGAGTAGCAACTATAAATTTGGCAGACCATGGACCAATGCCAGGCAGTTGGTTGGCTCTAGGAAATTTATACGCCAGCTGCCTGTCGCATCGTTGTCCGCCTATACACACACACACCCACCCACGCCCACACCCACAGGCACACTACAGACACACACCCCATCTTCTTTGTTATGCAAGTTAATCCTTTTTATAGCTATTGTTCAGCGCATCAAAGCTTTACAGCTCCTCCGAACACCCTTCTAGCTGGCCTAGGATACACGTACGCACGCCCTGTGCATTTGTTTCAATGGAGCAGCTGTGAAGTGGACTGCAGGGGCGGGGGATCGGGGATCGGCAGCAGATGTAGCTATAGCACATGTCACTGCATTTTTCAGCGACTCCGAGAGGCGACACAACCAACATATTAGCTGCCACACATATGGTTGGTGGCCCAGCTGGCGGGCAGCGGTGTGTGCTGCGGGTGTGGCATGAAAAAGGGCTCGGGCCAGGGCTTGATGCATGTGCATCTTCTTGATAGCTCGGGCTAAATCTGGCGCATGTTGTGCGATGGCGCCGACGTCGTTGTTGAGCGTGTTTGTACGGCATGCCGCAAATTCATTATTATTTTACCCAACACCCACTCAAGCAGCTGTAGTAGCTGTATAAACACCCAACACATGAAGTAGATAAGCAGAGAACGAAGAGTTCTCCGAAAGTAACCTTAAAGCGATACAAGCGGAACTGATGGGAGTCCTTTAAAACTTCCCACACTCAGGAGCCACAAAAGGACAAACGAACGTGTAGCCCCATTTTCTTAATTAGTCCTGAGTTAATGATTATATTTACTGACTCATCACACACTGTGAGCATCTATCCAAATAAAAACTTTTAATTTGCTAAGAAATACAACTTTAATCTCTGACCAACGAAGCTGTAGGACAATATTTCAAGCAACTGCAACTGCTGCAATTTCTCATTTTAATAAAAATGCAAATGTCTTTTCCTCAAAGTGTTGGCATGATGCTGCCATCAGGTCCCCTACTTGCTCGCTCTTTTCCAGCAAATTTTCTCATATAAAACGTTGATAAAACTTTTTGAATTTTGCCCTTGGTAGCTAAAGCGAAAGAGGAGGAAAGCTAACGAATAACAAACAAAGACGAAAACAAAGGAAAAGGAACAGCCACATCCAATAAGGGAAATACGTTTTCAATAAGCTGCGAAACGATATGGTGATGAACTCTGGAAGAATTTGACTTCCTGGCCACCGACTTAGCTGAAAGTGTGGGAACTACTAGTCGTAGTAGTAATCCAAGTAGTAGTAGTAGATGTAACTGTAGAAGTATTGACAGCTATACTATAAATAGCAGTTGAAGCTGTATAAGAAGTAAAAGGCGTAGTAGAAATACCTCAACTAGTTGAACTATTAGCAGATGAAGTAGACGTAGTCCAATTATTGGCAGTTGAAATATAAGTAGGCAAGCTATTCGTATTTGAAGTGGTATTTGATGTAGCACAAGTAGTATTGGCATATAAAGTGTTTCGAGAGTAGTATAAGTAGTAGTCGTAGTATTATAATTAGTAAAAGTATTGGTAGATGAAAAGTTGGTTGATGTAGTATAAGTAGTAGTAGAAGTATAAGATGTAATAGAAGTATAAGTATTCGCAGTATAGAATTAGTAGTAGCAATAGTATAAGTAGTCGAAGTATTGGTGTATAGAAGTACTATAAGTAGTAGTAATATTAGTATTATAAGTAGTGGTTCTGGCAGTGGTAGTATAATTAGTCAAAGTATTGGTTAATGAAGTGTTGGTTGATGTAGTATAAGTAGTAGTAGTATAAATAGTAGTTCTAGTAGTGGTAGTATAAGTAGTCGAAGTATTGGTAAATGAAGTGTTTGTAGAAGTAGTATAAGTCGAAGGATTGGTGTATTTTTATACTAGTATAAGTAGTAGTAGTAATAGAAGTATAAGACGGTGACATTGTATAAGTAATAGTAGTATTTGTTATCTAGTGCCATGGGATATTGTCTGTTTCCATATGCTTCATATTGCAGCATATTGTACAAATTCGATTTAATTAAAATGGCAAGCAGAAGCATGGTAAAAATAGGAGCAGCAAAGGGTGTCCTCATATTTTAGAATACGTAAGCAGAGAGAATTTTTGCGGTATGTGAAGGGTTAATTAAGTTAAGTAACGGTCTAATATTGTTATTTTTACAAAATCTTTTTATTATCGTATCTGCAAAACAAAAAATAATTCTAATTTAATTATAATTCAAAACGAAAGTGAAAAGTGTGAATTTGTGCTCTCGCTTTTATATATGTCGATATATTGTCGACATTCCCGATAGTGGGTAAAAGCAAGATTGCAATATTGGAAAAACCTTTTTATTCCGGCATTAAGATGATATATATATATACAAAAACACAGCAAAATTTGAGCCTTGAATTTAAACTGGCCTACAAATTATCTAAATAGATTGTCAATCAGCGATTTTGCTTTCTTGAAATCGATCAATGCAGAAGTCGGTTATTTTTTTTCTGTTTGAACAGTGTTTGCTTTACCCGGAACAACTGCTTTGATCATGGAAACGATTTTGTTCTTTTCATTTGGCTTCGAGCTGGTACCCGCATCATTGATATCATCGCGTTTGCCACAGAATTTCTGCAGAGTTGTCTGAACTTTTTCCCCGCTACTCCCCACAAACTGCTCAAGCTTTACTTTATTCTTAATAATCAGAAATGAGGGCATACTACTGACATCATACTCTTCTGCGAGGTCCTCATGATCGTCCACATCGACTTTGACTATAACTAAACAGTCCTCGTACTCACTAGCGAATTCCTCAAGACGAGGTCCGATCAGGGCGCACGGGCCACACCAAGTGGCAAAAAACTCCACCAGAACATGCTTGTTGCCAGCCTCTGCAACGATCCTTTCAAAATCGTCTTTTGATTGTATGGTTATGACCTTTTTCGGTTTGTTTTTGTTGGCGGCGGCAGATGCCATGACTGGAACGTCTGTATATGAAATTTAGTCAGCCGAAAAAAAATACAATAATCTAAGATTTTTAAAGAAGTTTCAAGATCATCTGACTGACAAATATAACTAAGCTAAGACTGTGTCATAACAGCAGAGTGAAATCGGCTGGTGTTCATGGTGCTCAGCAAAGTGTATACCTCGCACTCTATCGCAGCTCGGTATTTGTTGTTCATCTGGTTCGAGCTTAGATTATTTATTAGGAGGAAAATTTAAGAATTAAGGGAACAAAAAAGCTTTGTACTGATTAAAGAAAAGCCAGATCAACGCAGCTGTCATAGGTGGAAAAAGAGCTAAGTCCGCTTTGAGTGCACTTCGACCATGCACCTACACAAGCCTTGGATTCTGTGAACTAACTTTTGTTGGCAGCTGCAGCTATGTTGCTTAGCAGCTTGTTGTCGTTTTTAGTTGTATTCTGTTGACTGTTTGCTGGTTTGCCCTGTCCTGCATTTGTCACAAATTAAGACAAATTCAGCGCAGCATACGCTCGCTGCACCCGACCGCCAACCTCACACTCGGAGCCTGCATCTGCGGTGCTCTATGTGTGCTGTGTCGTCTTTGGGCTGGCTCTTATCTTTTGAGTGTTTACCTTAAGGCTTTTGAATTGTTGAAGTTTTTTTTTGCACTGCTCTATACTGCGCAACAACGACTGCCACCGGGTATACTGATACAGTATAGCCATAGCCGTAAAAATGAATGAAGGATGAAGAAAGAGAAGTTCGTGTCTAAGTCTGGGGTATTTCTTGCTCGTCTCGTGTAGAACATTTTTACTTGGCTTTTTTTGTTCTGCTCCCAACGTGCGTTTTGGAGTGCTTCTTGCCGTCGTTTGTTGGCCAAGTTGTGTGCCGAAGAAGTGTCGGCTTAAAGCGCTTTAAGCATGCCACTACTTGACATTGAGCCTTCGTTAATAATCCGCTTGTTATGTGCATTGCTTTCGCCCACGCGCTCCTCAACTCTCTTGCATAACCTAATGAGCAGTGCAAAGAGACAAATGATAGCGTTTAACTGGTGCACACAAAATACGACCGGAAACAGCAGTAGTAGCAGCAGCAGCAACAGCAGCAGCAGGTGTAATACATAACATGCAGCAATAGCAACAGCAACAGCAGCAGCAGCAGCAGCAGCAACAACAACACGAACCGGTACAGTTAAGTGTATCAGTGTCAGTTTTTGTGCCATGTTGTGCAATCGCTTGAGCATCCCATTCAGCGCGCCAAGTGCGCGACTTCCGCTCGCAGAGATTTGCCGCCCATTTATCTCCCTCGCCCTGTCTCCCTATCTTCCTATCTCGCACAGCTGTCCCGCTCTACCTTTATTTGGGGTCTTCGGTATGCAGGCAAAGCGAAAGTGCTGACCTCGCTGTCGCACCTTGACACGCCGCGTATGAGCAATGCATTAAAATGGCGAATGGCAACCAAATAACTAGCGAAATATTTTCGCTAAGAGATAGAGAAAGAAATGTTCAAAATAAGAGAGAATAACAAAAGTCACGTATGTGGCAAGACAAATTGCGTCAAGTGCGGAGAATGCCACTTTCACTCACTTTCAATCAGTCAGTCAGGCAGTCAGGCATTCAGTCAGTCTGCCAGTCTGTCAGTTACTAAGTCACTTAGTTAGTCAATTATTCATTCAACTCTTCATTCAGTTATTTATATTGCGCATACGCCATGCTGCCAGCATATTTTTATTGCGGTCAACTGTGCATTGGGGTTGAGCATCAAATGCCTTTCTTGTCGCGTTTCCCACTACAAGGGCAATTCCAGTTTTTAGGTAAAGAATGGCTATGATGACTGCATAGTCAGGCTCTAACGATTGGGCCTCTGAATTGATTTCACAGTTTCAACTTTTAAAAAAATATTCATGCAGAAAGAATTTTTGAATTTGATTTATTTGCTCGAATGATTCGGCATTTTAATTGCAAATAAACTTTGCTCACAGAATTTATTCTTTGTTATTATACATTCATAAATATTTGAGTATTCTTTTATATTTAAATTTATTGTAGAGTTTTCACATTGGCTTAGAATTGTCCAGGGTATGGGTTAGTGCTGCTCTTTCATGTTTCTATGACTTCGTGCATTGTTGTAAGAGCTTTGACCAGAATAGCATGAAATAGTGGCAGTTAAAAGTGATTTATGACATTTTTACTTGGAAAATTGGTTTCGAGAAAAGAAATGTACATAACTTTCTTCAGTAACTGTAGAAATAAACTTTGCCTTGTAAGGACTTCAAAGAGCTTACGCCAAAAAGTATGTTATAAAAATGAAAAGACATGTTATAAAAATGAAAAGACTATACAGCATTGGCCAGAATGCTTTTGGTTGTCGTTTGGCTGGGACTGCTCACCTACGTAGCTTGACTCGCACAAAGCACGAGCACGTTTGGCCATGTTGTTGTGTGGTAATTGTCTGGTACAAACTGCTAACTGGCAGCTGACAAAGTGATGGACAGACCACAACAGCCCGGCCCACCCAGGTCACCCCAGCAACGATAAGAACAGGAACAACAAGCAAAATTCATTCCAATTTTGGCTTAACAAGTTTATGAGCTTTGACCATGGTGCAAATCGGTGCCTGCATTCGGACTTTTTTGAGTGTTTGGCATACAGCATCTACTTGCTTAGCCAGGACCTACATTTGCACAAGCTCTGGGCACTCTTTTAGTGCAGCTGCACTGAAGTGTCTCCGCCCAAAATCCCATTTACATTCATGCCGGGTCTATTGTAGTCAATTTCATGCACTGCCATTGCTCCTATCGCTGCACTCTCTACGTGTTCGTGGTTTATGTGGCAGGATGTTGTTGGCCCGTTGTTTGTCTGCCAGATGTGTTTCTCACAGTTTTGTCAACGTGCGAAATCTCTCAAATTTTATTACGCTCGAATTTTGAGGACCTTAACAGCCGACACAGCTGCCACAGCCGCGGCGCGCCGCGCCACGGTTTGATGGCGCTTAATGTCAGGCCATTACCGGGCGCAGGAATCAGGTCCAGCAGCCTGGCTCAACTTTCCCACTTTCACATGACAGTTGGCATTTTTTTGCCGACAAACCAAAACGGAGCTTATAACGAGCCGAGGAGTGGGGCAACAGCTAACCCCCGCTCTGGCTTAACTCTGCCTTACGCCCACGCAGCCAGATGAGCCCATACATTTTAACAAGCTGCTAATGTGGGCTTTATAGGGACTTCGTTTCTTGGGGCCTGAATTTGCGTGGCTTGTCAGCTTTAGCTGGGTTGCAAGACAAGCTATGACGCACAGTGGGCAAGCAAGCAACAAAAAAGAATTAATAATATCTTATATAATTTAATTTAATTATACCATTAATATATATAATACATATATAATATATATATTTTTTTTGTTAATTGCTGTTTTTATTTGCAATCTGTCTTATACTAGACAATAAACAAATTTGTTAACAATAATATATAATATATAATATATAATTTATTTTATATGTGTTACAATTATCTGACCTAAGACTCCATGGCGCTTTATAGAAAGGTTACCATTGTATTAAGTTACAGAGGAATTCTTGGCCTAAGAGCTGAACATAAATAAAATGCAGATTAAATAAGGATTTCTAAACAAATCTATAATAAGAAGAAAATATTTATGTATTTATTATTTTGTATTTTATTATAGGCAAATATCTTTTAATACAGATTATGTAAATATATTCACAATATATATGCATATAAATAACAAAATTAAACACATTTGCTAACCATTTGTAGCACTGTTTAAAGAATTGCTTAACTGAAATGCAAAATAAAATTGTATTAATACTGGGCTTTTAGCTGTTCCTTCCATGCTCGCTCGTCAAATTAATCATTATAAACTGGAAATATTTCACTAGTCCTATACCATGAGCTAGTTGCCATTCCAGGCAGCTTCAGCTCTTCTTAGCCTGTTCCCGACTAATCAATAAGTTTAATGTGCCCAGCAAAAGGCAAACGACGTCAACAGACCAACTGCTAAGCAGTCAGCATAAAAGACTTCAATCAATCAAGTGCGACAGCCGCAGCAGCAGCAGCAGCAGCAGCAGCAGACGTCGAAGATGGAGTTGCGAAACACGAGCTGACAATCGTTGTGGTAAGGGGACAAAAAAGGGTTCCCTGTGCACATGATCCTGTTGCTCTTAGGCATTAAAACCACATGTGCTTCAACACAAAACATTTTATGCCCCAGATATTGGTATGAGGAGGTGCCGCAGTGGCTTCTGCTGCTGCTGGTCCTACTTAGGAAGCTGCTGTGAAGGGCGGCTGCTACCACGGCTACCTCGGCAACGGTTCGGTTCTGTCTTTCTAACAGGCTGCGTCAACAAACTAAACCACTTTGAAATTAACACGTTACATTGACATTGACAGCTTTATGCGTGGCATGCCGAGTGTCGAGTGTCGAGCGTCGAAAGAGTGCCAACGGTGGCTGTCAGTTACAGTTTGAGCTAAAGGCGTTAACACAATGAGGGCGGCATCAAGGGATGCCAAACGATGCGGCAAATATGACGGTGGCTTATGGAGGTAACGCAATGCCGACGGAATGGCGGCCGGAAGACGCACAAAAAAGGCAATTTCCGTTGTGGCATAAACAAGACTAAAGACTGTATCTGGCTGTGTGTGTGTGCGTCTAAGTGCAACTGTGTGCGTAGTTTTTATGGGCTGGCATTCAGCGAAAAGAAAATTACCAATTCAAATGTCAGAAGTCGCGGCAAAAACGCGCTACACCTAACCCCACCTAACCCTACCCGGGCGCTGGTCTTGACGCAAAATTAAATTCAGTGTCAATTTGTTTTTCCTTTTCTTTTTTTTTTTCTGTATTTTTCAAGACGTGCATGTAACGACGGCTCAACTAGCATGGCTAAGCTGAATAATCAGTTGCTAAAAGTGCCCAAGACAAAGCAGAGCCAAATTGTTGTGTGAAAATGTCTGAAGTGCTTAAGCCAAGGAAACACCCAACTCAATTTGCTATTTCTTGTTGTTTTTTTTTTTTTGTTTTCTGTTGCCTGCCCACGATTTTTCAATGCCTTTTAATTTGTTGTGCGTACCCAGCCAAACGAATTTATGGCCCCAAAATTGG